CAACAACAGTCCATCAGCTATGATCACTATTCATGTAGAACGGGTGGAGCAGCTGGTTGGAGACGCAGGTGACCACAAAGCAGGCACGGTAAGTCGTGTGTGATGTAAGACACTTAATGGGAGGAGTTCACTTTCTCTTCTGTTTTTAAATGATAAAACAATAAATATTCCAAGCAATCAGCATCATAAATCACATGCTCATCATTTCATTTCTGGGCTCTGTTAGAAAAAATGTTCATGTTGATTAACAAAGGAACAGAGTGAAGTGAAGGATCAAGAGAGGCTTTCCTGTGCTCTCAGTCAGACCTCTGAGAAAGACCTCATCAGAAGGAGGTGATTCAAACTGTTCGCCTCCACATGGCAAACCACAAGCACACACACACACACACACACACACACACACACACACACACACACACACACACACACACACACACACAACACACACACACACACACACACACACACACACACACACACACACACACACACACACACAACGTGAAACAACAGGAAGATCTGTTGAGACTTTCCTCTTCACACTTTTGGCTCCTTTGTTAGGATTAAATGTAATTCTGAACTCTAATGACCAAAAAACAATGTCATAACAGGAATGTTTCAGAGATCACATTTGATCGTCAAGACAGAAACTTTGTTCAAGAGGAACTTCTGTTGAAAGTTTTCAAAGTAAATGTTTAAAAAAAAAAATGAAAGAACATGAAAAGAAAGTTTCATTTGATGTAAGTAGCTCAAAATGATAATTATTTTATCAGATAGTCATTGGTTAACGAAACATAAGAAGATATAAAAAAAATGTCAAATCTTAATCTAATTTTACATTGGTGACCAACAAATATTCCTAAAACTTAAAGGTAGTTAAACTACTATAGGCTGCAAGTTATTCAAAACAAGACAAGACCAGACCAGCAATGTTCTGTACTTTTGCTTGTTTAAAATGCATGGATGTAAATTTGATCTAGTTGCCGGTCAACTTTAAAAATTAGATCTATACTGCAATTATTAACTCTTCAGTTCAGATTTAGCCACATGGTTATGTACACGTAAAAGGAAAAAAAAAACAGCCTTGTTGTGAAAATACAGACAAGTCTTTAAAGTAACAGAAAGTATTTAGCCTCTACTTTTTACATCCATGGTGTGAAACAACTTGTACATGCAAATACAATTCCACCATTGCTTTAAAAGTGGTGGCAGATTAATTCAGTTGGAGGGGACAATAAGGTCCCAGGACTTATTTAAAAGGTCTATTTTCCCATTTCATAAAATGTTCTAAAACGCTAATCGCAGTTAAAGGCTATAGCCTACAACTCAAAGTTAAAGCCCACATTAAAATGCAGTGGCTTCAGAAAACACATGATTATACTGTTAGAAAACTATACAGATGTTTGCAACTGGCATGTGTTAAAAACATTTCCGGCACTCTATTTATTATTATTTCTTGTGAAAGTCACTGTTGCCACTTCCGGTTTCGTACTACCTAACAGCTGTTAACTTGACGCAGTTGCTCCACGCTGACTGCTGCGGCTCCAGCGGTCCTGCTGCCCCGCCGCCCTGCTGTCAAAGTCGGCTTCTGCCTACATACCAACACAACCCCCCCCACCCCACCACACCCCACCCCGCCACCCCACCCGGTTACACGGGGACCCACGAACTATTCGAAAGCCTTCACACTGAGAATTTTACCAAGTGGGTTATCTCGGAGGAGGCGTGTGGATGCAGCTCACTCCGTCGCCTCCACCGAACACACAACCGACAAAACCGGTGAAAGATGCTCCGGCAGCGGCGTGCCAACACAGACCCCTGTTCCTCAAATCCCATTATTGAAATAAGAGATGAAGGAAACCCCTGCTGTTTCAAAGTAACAGTGTAATAACAAGAGAATCCTCCTACCGTGGACATGGGTTGGTGGTGCGGGCGGGCGGCTCCTTCCTCTTGCGGGTATCAAAGAGGCTGTGTGCGGCTCAGCAGCTGCGGACTCTCTGCCTCCTCCCACCGGCCGCCCCTGGGCTCTCTGGCTGCTCGGATACTTCCACCGTCTGGGAAAAAAAAAAAAAAGCTCCGCACGGCCCCGCCGACTGCCTGTCAGTCTGAAGACTACTGCAGCTAGACAGACTGCCAAACAAATGCGAGATCCTGAGTGGTCAGGGCGCGTCACTCCGCCCGTGGGTCCTCCCCTAGTCCCGCCGGTACGCGCCGTTCTGCCGTACGCGGACGGAGCGTCACGCCAAATCTCTTTTAAAAATTCAGGAAGTTTATGATGGTCGTTGAACTTTTTCAGTGATTTATTATTATTATTATTATTATTATTGTTATTTATGATTTATTTATTTTATGATTTATTATAATTTCAGCTTGTTAACACCTCAACTCTCTAAATGCTAAAGTTTAAAGCTTTATCATTCAAAGGCTTGAGAGAATATGAGCATGACTATATACTTTTTTCTGTTACATAACACTTGGCTTTTATTCTAAAGTTTATCTTGCACTCAAGGAAATGATGGCAGCCTGTAATTTAAGAGTCTCTCAATTATTCTATACCATACTTGACTTATCCCGTATTATTAAATGATTCATTGAATCCCCTTTTTCATGACCTATTGTTCATTGTGCTGCTAAAGCATCGTGTTTGCTATATTGACACCCACGTAAAGAACAGGGCATGGCACTTGTTGGCTGAAAACGCTGATGCTTAATTAAAATGATGGAGCACCACCGGGCACCAAACAGCACTTATAACATCCTCTTAAAACTGCAGTTGGTGCATGTCATAATTTGGATTCTTGCAGCCTTTTCTTTCTATGACTCACAGTCCCTGTTCTCCTTTTTTTTTTTTGCAAAAATATAATCATCAAATTGCATCTTTACGCACCTCCAAAAGCGCTTGAAACAAGACGACACATGTTTAGATGTCAGTGAGCATCTGAGTGCAAAACAAAGGAGATGGAGTTAACTTCAGCTGTTTTTCGTCACAATTTTAACGCACTGCAACCAAAAACACTATTTCAGAATGCTGAAGAGAAATCTACAAACTTGGCTTTGAAATAAAAACTTGTATGTTGCTGAAAAAGGAAATCCTGTTTTTGTTTAAAATTTTAAAAAAGCACAAAAAACGTACATCCCTTTGCTTCTTCTCAGGTTACACTTGTTGTGTGACATTATTTGTTGCACCTTAAATATTTGTTTACCTCAGGGGCATCCCTCCACATTCTAGGTTGAAATTATTTGCTGACGTGAAGAGATGTTTCACCTGGAGAGCTGCTGAATGCATTTCTTAAATAAAGCTGCTAGTGCTGTAAATTTGATCCATGATTACTGAGCATGAAGCTGGGCACGCTCAGGCCTCTCTTTGCCAATGAGTTGATCACTTGTCCTGCAACATTGGATACGCTGTTCAAGACGAGTTTTGTGTCTTCTTGACAGATGAAGTCATTGTCCTCTGTTAACTCTGCACTTGCAGTACGTTCAGCATCGATGAGAAACTATGAAGAAAAATCAGCGAGGGACAACACGAGAGATGTCGGCGGAGGAGGTAAAGCCATCCATCACACACTGCTGTGAAGATCTGAGTCATGCACACTGCCAATGACATTATTGTGGGTGTGTGACACATTAGGGCTGTGCATTACTGTCCACTCATAAAACTTTGTTCAGCATGACTTTACCCCACAAACTGAGCCCAGAAATGTAGAGAATATTACTCCTCATTCCCCCTGTTCTCATAATGCTGCACTCTAATGTCCTTGATGTGTCTTCAGAGAAAGCAGAACAGTCTGTTGAGGCCTAAATTAAGCCTGCCTTTGTCCCTGGGGAGACTTCAGCACAGCTCTGGATTGATTCGCCCCTGTGGAGAAAACAGGCAGCAGGCAGCCCGGACCAGCGCCGCCTCTGCAGGAGAGCTGGTCGACCTGCTCCTGCAGCGCTCCACCTCTCATCCTGGGTTTCTGTTGTTGCCTCTTTCCCGTCTCTTTGATGCACAGAGCCCTGTTTACATGACCCACTTACAACTAATAAATCAAGTTAAATGCTGCAAAAATGTAAAATAACATTTTAAATTAAACCAAAAACAAACTGGATTTCAGCTATTTTTCATGTGAGGTTCAATATAATGTGGAATATGTAAAAACTAGGAAGCAATCACCTATAGGGTTTTTTCCACAGTTACTTATGAGCAGATATTTAACCAGTCATAACTGAATTTAAATGGGTTGAAATATGTGACGTAATTGTATAACATATATAATCACAAAATCCCTTCAATTTTCAGTAAAAGGAAAAAATGTCTGACTAATAACTTTATGTAAGTCCAACAATTATGAAACCAAGTTTCTTCATAATGTACACCTGGTCTGCACTGACCTCTAGTGGACACATGAAGGGTGTGCACAGAAGGCATAAAAAAATATTTATTTTCTTCCTAACCTGCATGAAATTTAAACAAAACTTTAGAGTGTTTTTGTCCTGAGCATTAAAGGCTAATGTCCTCTTTGGCAGGTACAGACTTTATTGTTTTACTTCTTTTTGCAGTATAATCTAAATATATTCTGTATTTCCTTGTTACCAGACGCCCCCATGTGGCCAAACAATGACCCTACAACTGTGCAAAAGTGCAGTACAAGAAATTAGAAAGAAGTGAATGGAAGAAGTGTTTTTGAAGTTTGAAACACAAGAGATAAAAGCCTCACAAAGATATTGAGTGGCATCAGTCTTCTCATCTAAGTCTCAGCAATTAGGCCAAATGTCTCTTTTTATTTATTGTCAAACGGTTTCTAAATGTATAAGATTTGCACGCCATTAGATGTGTCGCAGTCTTTTATAAATATATTGATAAATCCTTAAAATGTCAAATTTCAAAATAAACCAGTACATTATTTAAGCTGCTTCTAAATGCTGAAGATTAAAATGTAACCCATGAAGATCTTCTGAACCGTACCCGTTAATGAAAACAGACGCCCGTAATAAATCACACAGCAGCATGTCCTGAATAAATCTGTCATGATTTCATCTTTTATTTTTGACAGCGTTTTCAGGATATCATACAGGTAAACAAGATTTCTGCAAAAGTTAATATATCCATAGTGTTGCATTTCATAAAAATAGTTGCTCCACTTAGAGTCTTTGTGACCATGAATAGTACACTGAGTCATATTTATAGAGATATTTGTTCAGGGTCTACACACTGCTAGGACATACACAGTGATACTGAGCCGTTTGGGTTCGAGTTTATGGTGCCGCACACACACACACGCACGCACACACACACGCACACACACACACACACACACACAATGGACAATATAAAATAAGAACCTTTAGATGTGTTTTTTTCTTCTTTTTTTTTTGCTTTCTGTAGAAAAGTACTTACAGTTTTGGCTCGATGGAGACAGCTCAGATGTGGCAAGCAGTGATTTGTGCAAAGGCTGAGCAAAAAATATGCACTTTTTTTTTTCTGATCCAAACGTAAAGTTACTAAATAAAGGAGCGCATGAACATGAACGATGCAGTATGAAGGCAGCGTTTGCTACCTCTGGTCAGAGAAATCTAAAATCCATGTTTTGGGGCTTTATTTTGCTTTGTTGTTCTCGGGGCTGAGCTGTCTTCTTCTCTGACATAATAATTTATATTCCACATGAAATTTGAGTTTTCTTTAGTTACCTGGAGTCTGGTACCCATTATTTCAAAGTCTGGGGGAAGGGGGGCTAAAAAGTGTCTGATGAAACAAATGAAAATGAAAGGGGAGCTTTGGCATGGAGATGAACGTGTTATTATCACACAGTGTCGACAGAATCAACTCCAACAAATCAAATCAGCAGCTGGAAGTGGCTGTGGCAGGTGCAGCCTTCTCCTCCGCCCGCGTGTAGAAAATACGTCTCCATTTTCAAATCCTTCATTTAATCACTCAGTCAGGCTGCAGATTGTTAGAGGAGCAAAATGACAAGTGAGATTCACTTCATTCAACGAGTCAACAGCCGATTGCAAAAGTAGCAAATCACGAGTGTCAGACCTCGTTATGAAATCAGTAACAGAAAGTACCGTGACCCAAACCGAACCTCTTGTACAAATAAAGACGCTTCTGTTAATAGACTTATTTTCATACGTAAGCTTGTGAAATAAATTATATATTTCACCTTTTTTCTCACTGGTATATGAAAAAATACAGTTTATCCTTTATATGTGTAAAGTGAAAGTTGTATAGCAGCCTGTTTCAAACCCTCTTCTAGTGTTTTGGACCTCTCTGTCAGTCTAAGGCACTCTGCCCCTCGTGCAAGCTCCTCCTCTGGACGCCACTGTCGCCGACCTCTTTGAGCACAGAAATGAGACAAAACTGATTGACATGACATCCCCGACAAAACTCGGGGAGGATTCTAGCACAAATAGACCGTTCAGTCGAGACCCCGTGATGCAGTCACAGGGGGTGGGGAGAGAAGTTGAAGTTGTATTGGTGAAAGTTCTGGTCCATGTTGTTCCTCTCAGCACGGATTAGAATATTGATCGTCTCTACTAAGGTTGAGTTCACTTTAAAGATGATCTTATTTACAAAATGATCCCACATATTCATATTCATTATAATATATCTATGTCTATAATCATCTGATAGATTATTTCAAGACAGATTCAGGCCCGCACAGTCTTAAGGCAAAGTTCTGTTGATGACTAGATTTCATCTCCGATTTCACTCTTTCTTCCATTCGATCTCGTCAAAGAACAAAAACAAAAAAACAAAACAGGCAAATCATCCTTTAAACATTCCGCTTCATAGAACAGACTCCACCGTGAAGATATATTTGTAGAAAAAAAAATCAGACAGTTGCATCCTGTCACTTGTTCATATTTGCATGTTTGCCACCCAGTTCTGCTTTGGGAGGATTCCAAAATAGTCTTCAAAGTTTTTGAACCCCCGAATGATTTTCCCCTCATGCTGCACGCACGCACGCACGCACGCACGCGCACGCACACACACGCACACACACGCACACACACACACACACACTACTTGATCTTCCATATTTTTTTTTTTTTAAAAAGAAGGTGGATGATTCATTTCCAGTTCTTAAGGTGGTGGGTGTAGAATCTCTCTGGTAATAATTTAGAGTACAGTTTCATAAATAAAACTCTAAAAACACGTGGTCCAGATCACCCTGCCTCCCCCTTGGTTTTGACTGTTTGGTGTTTTCGGAGAATGGGGTCAAAATGGGGTCAAAAAGTGGTCAATGTAGGCTTAAAGGAGCACAGAAAGTTGGAGGGTGGTCTCACTTGTTTTCCTGCTGGAGCCGCGGTGTTATCTGCTCAGCGTGGACGTCCCCGTGCGCAGTGTGCTCGGCAGCTTGTCCGACCCGGGGATCTTCCAAGGCCCGGGAGAGACCGTGGCCTTCCTCCCAGCTACGTTGCCCCCGCTGCTGGTGCTCTTGTTGGGTCGGCTCTCTCCGAGGCTCCTGTCCGACTCCAAGTCCTCCCTCCCGTTACCGTTAGTGTGCGGGAGCTTTTGGACGCTGGGAGAGTGAGCGGATTCTTTGTCATCGCGAGGATTCCTCTCCTTGGACCTCCCTCTGGTGCTCCTGGAAGGTTTGGGCTCCCCGCTCTCAGCTCTGTCTTTGCCCCCTTCCCCCTCCGGAGCAGGCTGCACCCTTTGCCCCTTGTGGGTGGACCTGCCACCCTCTTTCTTGGCTCTGCCGCCGATCGGATCTGGACCCGGGAGCTCGGCCTTCTGGGGGCTCTTGGGACGCTCCTTCCTGCTGTCTCCCGCCGCCAGGTCTCGAGGGACTTCCAGAGGTTGGTCGGGGGCCTGGGCCAGATGAGATGAAGGCGATGGCATGGAAAGGCTGTCGATGGGAGGGGCTACTTCCGACAGGCTTGGGGAGGCTGAAGGGCGAGCATCCCATGGGGCGGCATTATCTGGAACGCACACGCACACAGTCAATAATCAAAGACACATTTACACCTGCTGCTTAAAAAAGCTTGCACACATGCCACAGCACAACCAAACACAGCGTCAAGACAAAAAGAATCAACACGCATCACTCCGTTTCTACCAGCTAAAAGCATCAGAGTGAATGTAAGAGCTGCATTACGACCTACTTCCCGACATGTCACAGGGCAACTCCACTTTCTGAAAACATCAATCTGCCTCCCATAGCTCTCTTTAAAGCTTCGGCCAATCTAAAACCTTTGGCGGAAAATCGAAAACAGGTTTAATGAAATGGATGATGTGCCCAATACGGTGGTGCTTTAGCGAGAATGAAAACCTCAAGGGCCGAGCGCTTCATCTCGCCCTCTTTCTTTCTCTTAAGCCTAAAGAAGTTTTGTATCTTGTGCAGCAGCTGCAGTGAATCTACAGCGAGCTCCTCCACGACTCTGCACTCTCACGGACTGTTAGCTTTACGTTTCTGCACCGATGAGCGTCGCTCCCTCGGCCATCAGTCACTCTCAGCGGGGCCGGGCAGGGGGGGCAGATGCTAGGCTATAGCTACACCGGCGCCACGAGGCCCAATTACAAGCACACCGTCATGCAGTGTTGTGAGTGTGCAGGATCCAGCGCGTCCACTATGATGAAGAAGTGACGTTCAGTTTGTGTGAAGTGGACTGAAAGCTGCTGTTAGATCTGATGATGTGGCCGGCTTACAATTCTGCCGAGTCACCCTCAGACAAACTATGGTATGTGTGCATTTGTTCTTTTTCAGGGAACCATAAAATAATTAGCCTGGTATTTCACTCTCTTTTTTTTTGGTGGCTTTGGGGCAGCACAAAAAAAAAACCTAATTTCCCCAAAAATGATTGGGACGTTGAGTAAAATGTTGATTAAAAAAAACTGTCGATTTGCAAAACATTGAAGATCTGTTTGCTTGAAAATAGCACAAAGACAACAAGTCTTGCAAGGTAACGAGGTCATTTGTCAAGATTTTGAGAAAATGGCTGGCTGTAAGGATGCACGTCTGCCTGGTGCACAACCCAAAATGACATCACATTTACTCCCGATGTTTTCAGCCCTCTTTTAGTCCATTGAGGTTAATCACCAGAAATTCGCTAAATGTTGTTCCTTCTTTCCTTTTTCATCTTTAAAGCTCACTTTACACAATCCATCATGCACGAAACAGGGGACACACAAGGTGAGGGGATAGCTGGTGAACAGCTGGAGTGAAATAAAACTGATTTATGCATGTCTGCTTAGGGCTCTAGATAGATAGATAGATAAATACTTTATTCATCCCGAGGGAAATTCAAACTACTACTGTCTCTTGCAAGCCTATGCAACTTAATGTCATAATGATAAGCATCGTAAATAGAGCACAGCTTCACTTGTGCACAGTGCTCTTTTAATCGCTAGTTTCCCTGCTCTCCTTTTGTTTTGTTTTTTTACATGTCACTCTTAAGACTTTGGTAAATATGAAACCTGAAGAATGCAGATGTAGAACTTCATAAAGATCCAAAAAACACACAGACAGGCACACAGTAATAATCATGCACATGCCCATGACCACATCTTATCCCACAGCGTTACCCGGCTTGTATTCTTCATTTACAATTAATTTTGTATCAAGCTGTTCCTTAAAAGCACATCATCTAAATTTTTTTTAAAAGAACGTGCTCCTTTTGAACATTAGTATGCTAATGTTTGAAACAGCCACATTAATCAGCTAAGATGATTTGCATAACCTTCCAGTATGCAAATAAAGCGCCTGAAAACCACGAGTGATGAAATGCTGAATGGAGCCCACACAGGAGGAGAACATGTGGGCTCGAGGAGCTGCTTCTACTTTTAGCCGACGTGAGGAGAGAACACAAAAGATCTGTGATGATGGAGGACTGCGTCTCCTGGCTGACCACAGTTTGACTCCCTGTGTGCAGATTTACTCCTCAAGGCAAGAATTACAAAAGCTTTGACACAGAGAGAGTCATTCTCAGGCTGCAAAGGGGGTTGACATGAGAAAACTACAGAACCCTCTTTTTCCTGTTTCTGTGTTAAAGAGCTAGAGGGGGAGCATGAAGGCCAGATTCTAAAAAAAATGTGTATTACTGAAGGCTTCAGTCCCCAAAAATATACTTTTTTCCTCACAGAAGGATGCGGAAAAGTGAGCGTCATAAAGGTAGCAGAAACAACGGGAGTCAGTGACGCATTGGAGTTTTATTACCCGCGGTGTCAAAAGAATAAATGTCCCCTTCTGGACTCAATTTGAGCGGTGCTGCGACCTCATTGGGTAAAACATCTGCAGAAATATTTCAAGTGGACTTCCTCTTGCTGACTAAGGGGGCTTCAACGAGCAGAAACCTCAGAGGCTGAGTAAAAAAAAAAGTCAACATAGAAGTGCACAAAACTGCAGTTCCTGGAGTGGCCACTTGAGGCTGGCTCCAAAGGTGAGTCAGTCTCCATTTGGCCTCATGTTAAAAGTCCAACTTTCAAGCAAAGGTACTGAACATTTGAATTCTAAAGCCAAGTTTTTTCACATCATGAGAACTGGCTTTTAAATGATATTAAAGGCTTCATAAGCAATTTTTTGATCCAGCAGATGTCGCCCTTGAGCACCAGCATGAAACTAAAACAACTCGCGCTGCATTGTTGTGTTAGCATGCTAATGCTAGCGATCTTTATTCTGCTGGTATCTTCACACTGCATGTAAATTTACCTGAAATGAGCGTGATCTAGAAACACAGTTAAGCAGTGAGTACAGTATGTTATTCTTCTTTTCTCTAGTCCCTCAATTAAACAACTTTTATACACGAGGGGAGGAGTCAGCCGGCCGTCCCGGCGATGTAAACAAACTGAAGATAGGACTCTGAAAACTCTGAAAACATCACAGACAGTGGGACTCGGGTGTTACACCCATTGTAGACAGTCATGACTCACAGAGTTATTTTCAGAGGATATACTTGATTTATATTATATTTAAGTGTGAAAAATCACATATGAAGACTTTAAGGCCAAAACGTATGCATGATTAGGGGCTTTGTCAATTTTAGTGGCAAGTACTTTTAAAGTCTACGGTGAACACTGAATTTTCATATTTTCAGGCCCTGACGGTCGGTTTCAAACTGTTTTAAAGTTGCTAGAATTCTGTGACTTGTAGTTTTTAAGCGATAGTTTGTGGCTTATTCCATGAACTAAAAAGTAAGATATAAACATGCATCAATAACAAGTGGTTATATCAAAACAACACACAAAAAACCACAGCACAAAAAGCCAGGGTTAGGTGAAGAGAAAAAAAACATTCGTATGGTCACAAACCGTGTCTTTAGAGTGGCCCGTTAGGAAGAAATAGGGGGAGCCATGCTTGTCACTTTTCATGCACATGGAGAGACTGGAAGATACCATTCCTATAGAAGGGGAAGTAACAACCTAGACCAATCAATTAGTGATAGGTCACTGAAATGGACAGAAGATAAACTAGTGTTAGTCAAGACAGAAGAGAGAAACATTAGTTTTTTCTTTTTTAACAACAGAGTGAAATATAGAATACCACGAGTACAGAGTATAAAAAAGGCAGAAGATTGAACATGAATATAGATGAAGAGAATAATGTTAACAAGAGCTGAAGTGATATTAAGACAGCGAAGGAACAAAAAAAAAGTCAAAAAGTTAAAAGAGAGAGTTAAAGAATGATCCTGAAGGCAAAGAAAATGTGGATTAAAAGTTTGGATCCCTACCGTACTCTGGGACCTGCCCCGTCCCCCTCTTTAGCAGAAGACGAACCCGCCTGCCTCCAGACTTGATCAGCTCGATGGCCCTGGCGTGGGTCATGTCTCGGGTGGTTTCTCCATTGATCTCAATGATTTGGTCCCCAACCTTGGGAGTCAGGAAGTACAGAGAAAGAAAAAAAGTTGTAAACAACTTTTAGAGGACGAATGCATTCAGCGGGCCGTTCTTAGATCTAAAAAAAACAAAACAAAGATGCACTTTACTCAAAGTTTGTCCACATACTTGGTTCTACTTTTTGTCCTTCTCTCGGCTCCTCTGTACCAAAGCAAAGTGAATCTAATGCAATAATACAAACACTCATCCAACATCTTTCCACTTTTACGAGAAGGCTGTTCACCGTTTCAGAAAGATAACACTCCTGTGCTGAGCCAGGCCAATAAAGTCAAAGCACTTTGAGAGGTCTTTTCTTTTCTCTTTAGGAGAAGATGTACACAGACCTTACACAAACCCCATCCAACATCTACTGCAGGGGTGTCAAAGTTCTATTGGGTCGGGGGCCGGATTTGTTCAAATGAGACCTCAAGTGGGCCAGACTAATTTTGCAGACATCACTATAACTCAACACGTGGATATATAAGCTAATGTATGATTAGAAAAAAAGACAAAAAAAGGTACTTGTATAGAAAACTGCATGTTAACGCATTAAAATGTAAAAGTATATTAAGCAGAGGGGTTAACTCTGTCATTGCAAACTGCATGTTGGCACATGGAAATATTTAAATGTACATTACAGAAGACAACATCAATAAATATGTTTTGTTTGAGATTATTATATTATGTTTTAATATTGCTGTTCAAGGTAATAGAAACTTTGACACAGGTTTATCTACCTGCCCTGGGATCAGTGCATTAGAGAGAGAGAGAGAGAGAGAGAGAGAGAGAGAGAGACTTTAGATCTGTGTGTCAGGCCACAGCACAGTTTGCACTCGTTAAGGTTCATCACAGATAAAACCTGCTCACATGAATAAGTTATCACAAACACACAGAGTGTCTTTGATGCAAGACCGAAGTCACCTTCGGGTATTTTAGTGTTAGGCATTATAAAATGATAACATGTTTCCAAACCAACAGACTTGAAATGATCCTTCAGCGTTGCGCACTGCAGTCTGATCTGCTCCGTGTGGAGTGCACGTTCTTCAACTAAGTAAAATCAGTTAAACGACTTCTGATATGAGTCTGGCAGTCCGTTCTTCTACGTGTCCGCACTATCGTGATCTAACTCTGTCACTGACTTTTTATGCGCCATGATTCTGTGCCATCTCCGTGCGCAATTCGAGGAAGTATTTCAGCGCTGCTCCTCGGTTAAACCAGCGGACCTCTGTATGATCGGACAGCCTGTGTGTGATATCGTTTTTGTATAAAAATGAAATGTTCAGTAATAGTTATATTTTTACAGTCTGATGAAAGCTGGTGATAAAGGCGTAACAGCAGGCTACTGCTGAACAGGTGTTCAGCCTGTTTGCTGATGTGATGTATTACCAGTGTAATGCAGGAGCAGCTCATGCGCTCGGCCACTCATCTTTTTTATGATTACTCCCTGCTGAGAAAATAGTTCAAAGTGCCCCGTTTAATTAATATTCGTATCATGATATCAACCTTTACGTTACGTTTACATAGGTTTTAATACAATTCGGGGAAAATACGTATCAAAATATTTTTCAATACATTTCCTCCTTCTTCCCAAAACGTCTCGCTGGGCCGGATGAAACCTGCTGTCGGGCCGTATGTCTGACACCCCTGATCTACAGGGTGGATATCAATAAAGATCATGTGGTTAATGGAGCAAATACCTGGAGCTGATGAATAAAAGTGTTCATGTTCAAGAATGTGTTTACAGACTCGTCCTCAGAAGTGGTACTCGGTGTTTGAGTGTAAAAAGTTATCAGAGGTTCATTCTTATTAACAGATACAGCTTATCAACGAACACCTAATAATGTCTTTAAAGCTGCAGAGTTTGTCTTACAATCACTTGTTCACTAAAGAAAGTGATTTCATTAAAGCTCCTGTAAGGAACCTTTGTTTTGTGTTGATTTTGGCGCCCTCCTGTGGACAAAACAGTAATTATTATCGCTTTACTGTTTTACAGGTCATCGAGGGGCATCAATATTAATCTAAGTGTGATTCATGACCAGATAAACACTCTTCACATTCCCTTTATTTTAGATTTTCATTTAGAAATCAAGACGAACAGATGAGTATCTATTCATATTTTTTTAGATTGTTGAAACAATGTCAAATAAAACTGTCTTAAAGGAAGAAAGTTTTCTTTCCGCTTTAGAAAGCTTGGTAACTTCAGTGAACAACACAGTGTGACTTTGTAGCAGCGGAGCACAGCGAGCTCTGGATCATGACTGAAGCTGCGTTTATAGATTACAGAGAAGCCTTAACTCTCTTTGACACGTTCCTGTGGAGCGAGTTACATTCATCACATGCCCTGCACCACTTCATACCGCAGCACATAATAAAGATGAATTGATTCTATGCACTTAACATTTCAATAATGAATTGATTGGCATTTTAGCATGCTTGTAAGAAGTGAACTGTAGAAATGATTGACGGAAAAACCGAACGGTAAATAAATGAGGTGCCATATTGTTACATAAACCCTCCGGTAAAGTTGACAAGAGGTGGAAATAAGATGAGCGAATTAATGAAGCTGTTTCCATACTGAATATTGAGTCAATTATGATGTGGCAGGTTTGCAAATGAGCAGAATACAATATGATAGAGAATATTAACAAGCTTATTTTATTATGGAGCACACAAAAGTGATTCATAACGGTCAATATGGACAGATGATTCTTACTCTATAATTCATCGGCTCTCCCAGGAGTTTGTGTTAATAAGCATTACCATTGAACTGGTGTCACTTCTTATTAATTCAGATCTAATTTGGACATGTGGTTCAGATGGAATTAAAGTGGACCCTTACTCGTATGAGGACACTCTGATGAATACTAACAATCTGCCTGTTTTAAAATGACCAATACTGCAGCAGCAGCTCAGCTAACGGCTAACGCAAATATTAGCCGGCCGACACGAGGACGGGTCAAACGTCAGTCCGTCCTCCCTCTTTCAACACTCTCACTTTTTTGGCTCTTCAAGACGCGGCTCTGAGGTTGACTAATGGGGAGGATTCATGGGGAACGGGACAAAACATGCCGGCCCAATTACGCTAACAAATGGAAAAGTCCTCGGGTAATGGCCGGGGTAATTTGAAAGTCAGGAGCGGACTCGAGTCGCAGAGAAGGGGGGAGTCATTAGGTGTCATTACAGTGGTCTGGTGAGAGGTGGAAGGCAAGGCGGTCGGCTCATTAATCCTCACCTCCGAACGGCGGAGGAGAGCGATCTCCATTTTCATCTTTAATAAAGAGGGAGTCGGAGTTGAATGGACAGCAGGTGAGCGCTGAGAACAGGGAGCGTACGGTGAATACGAGTTGAAAAGGAGTTGCACCGACGCCTACGCACCAATCAGTCTTTTCAGGAAGGTTTAAAGCTTAGAGAGGTGATTAAATGAGCCGAATTATATCTGTAATAACCAATCACTTCATGCAATTATCTTAACAGCTTCTGCACTGCTCCATAAACCTTAAAAAGATCCGGATTGGTTTAGGGTCAAAATAGATGTGAGTGTTGGCGATGAGTGACTCGGCTGAAACTTCCCATAGACTACAGGGAGTCAAAACTGCATGACAGCGTTTGGTTTTCTTCACCTTATAAACGTGTCAAAGCAGCGCCAAAACCCAAAGTGACAGGCTTGTCAGAAGCTTTTAAAGCTGGGTCTCACATTAACTTTAGTGTAATGCAGATTGATTCCTCCCTGCATGCGGCGGTATGGATTGAGGATCGTTAGAAGAGGGATCAAAGTGTTCCCTGCGCATTGTTCTCAGAAATCTATTCCACAGCACAGTGTGGAGCTGATTTCAGGATCCTTCCAGCTGTGTTACTGTCCGACCGTTCATCTATAACTAATCAGACTCAGTGGGGGACGTTAAGTACATTTACTCCAAAACGACTTTGAGATACTCGTATGTTATGTTTAACTAACTTGACAGCTGTAGTTTAAGTCTTAAACGAAAACATAGCATGACCTGATACATATAACTCTGCCTTGAGGGAAAAAAACTCTGGCTGTTCAGTTAAAAATTAATTAGCCTACAAGACACGCTCCTCATATCTGCTGCAGGCTTCCTGCTAGAGGCTACATTAGCTGCTTTTAGCATAACTAGAAACTGATTTATTAATCCTTATCAGGGTGGATGGTCCAATAAGAGAATCAATACTCATTTTTACCCCAATCAAATCATAAAAATCTCCAGTTATGTTCCCCCTAAAATCTTTTCTCAGAGAGGTGGGGGTTGTATTTTCAGCAGCAGCTCCTGGTTTGGCATAGATGCACTAAAGAAATGCTATATGAATACAGATAAAGGTGTGTCTCTTTAATCCTCTCAGCTTTGAAGTGACTTTACATTGCTTTTGCCGCTTTGACTATCAAAGTGATACAAATCGATGAAGCAGAGCAGGACTAACTGAAAAAGAGGTGAGAAAAATGTGTCTGCTTCTTCAGCACCACGGACAGCTCCATGGATTTATCACTGCACAGCACAGATAGACTACTGATGGAATCGAAGTCATGGTCTGTAGACTCTAACCTGCAAAAAGCTAAGTCAGATAAACACCACAATTAACCATGGAGTGCCACAAGGTTCAGTGCTTGGACCGATTATCTTCACACATTCTTGATAAATGTTGCTTAGTGCTCATGATGGATTAACGTTGGGCATTTGTAGATTATACAGCAATGATTAAGGTCTTTTACCTGCTTTTTGTAAAGTGTCTTGAGATAACGTTTGTTATGAATTGGCGCTATACAAATAAAGACTGATTGATTGATAGATAAAGGATCAATGGGTCAGACAAGATTGGTACAAGGGGAACCCAACAAGAGGGATGCTAACATCTCTGACTGAGTAATGAAGGTGCCTCACTTCACCTCACTGGTCCTTCTGCGTCGAGTTTCACACTTGTTTGTGAAGACACAATATTCTGTGAGTGTCATGATAAATATCTGAAGTGTGAGTTTTAAATAATGTTTGAGGCAGAATAAAGAAAATAGTTTGGTATTTCACCAAAAACAAAACAAAGATTAGGGGAAGGTTTCGTGAAAAATGAACACAACTTCATGCAGCACAAATTTGCAAATGTTGCAATTTTTTTGCAGCGACAGTACAACAGTACACCTTGTCAATGTTCAAAGAGCAGGGTTGATTATAAGTAACCTTCAACTTCTGAATACTTCTTACACCACCAAAATCAGATTTTACAGCAATTTGACTTTAAGTGGAGCTCAAGCGAGCTGCCTGCTGTCGAAGTCCACTGGACTCCATCGACTACCCCAATGAGGAGGAAAAGTAATATGGCCCCCGGGGGCATTTTGCACAAATTATCTTTGACAGGTTCATTACAGATAAGGAATGTAGAGCAGACTGAGGCCATCAGCTGCAGACGTAAAGATCGGAGAACGTGAAAGAAAGAGAGAAAAAAAGCTGGAGAGAGATGTGTTTGCTACAAGATTCATTTTGTACTGAAGCACAAAAAAGGAAGTTGTTTTACGGCTATATGAATCTGCTTTCTCAGTGAGAGTAGTACATTAGTAATCATAGGTAGGAGGGAGCCATTGGCGTTGCTATGCAAACATTAACTGCGACTAAAGTTGGCCCACTTAAATGTTTTATCTGTCTTAATCTTTCTGAATATTATCTCTTTTTATTATCTCTTATTAAATGTCGAGGACAGATGAGTTCTCAGAACTTGGGAGGGGACAGATTTCTCCAAGTTTTTTTGACAGATAATTCCTCTGAAAAGTTGCTGTTGCAGCTGTGATAACATCGGACAATTACAGTGAGTGTCTACCATGTAATCCAGAGAGATAGAAAGCAGCTTAACCTTTAAGAGGTGAGAGTGGCTTTCTTAAAGGAAACGGCATCATCAAACTTACCCTCATCCTGCCGTTGCGGATGGCCGGTCCGTCCTCGGCCAGTCGAAGGACAAACAGGTCCATCTTGTACTCCCGCCCACCGCGGATGCTGAAACCGAAGCCTTTCACGCTTTTCTCCAGCTCCACGGTGAAGAAGTCAAAGTCCTGTGCGAGCTGAGAAAAGCAGTAAAAAGTGGGACAAAGTGCAGATAATGTAAATTAAACAACATGGATAATAAAGACTCTTTAACACTCAGCATTCCTGAAGTGAACCATGGATGATGTGATCCTTCTCTCTGGGTTCGTCACTAAGAGCAACAACTTTCACATTCGATGTTGATTCTTAATGAAAAGTACCCTGGTTATCACAGCTTATCTCCTTCCTCTGAAATATCCAGACTGGTGTCGGCCTCAAAGCCTCCAGATAAGAGAGTGTGAGGGATTAAAAAACTGTTTTCTGCTGCGTGAGACATCCTTACTTGAACTGGTGGCATCCTGTAATCTGGGATGGTGAACTGCCTGGCGTCGGGCGCTAGCTGCCTGTAGTCGAGCAGCGGCGGGTGTCTGTAGTCCAGCGTGGGGGGCTGCCTGTAGTCCGCCACGGGAGGATGCCTGTAATCCACGGGCGGCTGCCTGTAGTCTGTGAACGGCGGCTGTCTGATATCTGGTTTTACATCTTGCCTCGCTTTGACCTCGGACCTGTAACTAACAGACCAATCAGGATGAAGGAAGAACTTCCAAAATGATATTTAATCACCACAATCTCATGGCGGCCATTTTCCTCAAAGTGATGCCTCAAGGATTGGAAGCTCAAATTCTGTTATAAGGTTGTTCCTCTTAGCTCCTAGCTAAGATGACTTTAACAATACATCACCAAGGAAGTGAATTCTAAGTTAACATTTATTTAGCTAGGAATTTGAGATTTCCAGTAAAGCAGGTAAAGCTTACTCTCAAATCCTTTATAATGCTAATATAGCATTATAAGTGGCTGAATGCTAATGTTAGCAGTTTTCTTACTGAGGCTAATGTTGTATCAAATACGTTTCGGTCTATGTTAACCTGAAAAAGTAGCTACCTTTCCCCTCTATTTTCACTGTTGATTGACTTTTCATTTGCTCATCAATCAAGATAATGATGTTGATAAGAACATTGTTGGAAACTTTTGAACTAGTTGGGCTTCCTCCCCTAAGTGTGATGTCAGAGGAAAATGGCCTCCATGAAATATTGGCTATGCCCGTCATGATTACCTCCGAACATGCTGCACTTCATGTGTTGTGTTTCGGTGCACTTAGTGTGCTGTATAAAAGAATGCTTTCTGACAATCTGCTGGGTCACTCGGTGCCAACGGGGACCGTCTGTTTTGGTTTGCAGTGACAGCCATTAAACAAGACTTTAGTGAAGAAATTACACATCGCATGAAATGTTTATAACACAAAAACAAGTTCCCACAGCGGCTGGGGACGCCGAGTACAAAGAGATCTGGATGCTGTGTAAAGCACAAGCAGAGACATTGTAGATTTTATTTGGACCCCCGAAGTTCTTGGTAAAATATTCAAGAGATCTCTCTATAAAGAAGCAATTTAAGTCAATAATTCAGCAGTCCATAAGAGTTAAGTGATGTTATACAACAAACTGGGGAGGGAAAGAGAGCATGGGAAAGGAATAAAGAGGAAGAGACGCGATAAAGATATTTAAAAAACAATGATAGTGAGACAAAGCAAGGAAAAGGAGGAGGAAAAAGTAAAAAAAAAAGATGGAAAAGTCAATCATACCTGCATATTTGGAGGATGAGTGTTTTGCCCCAGAGACAGATAGAGGGCTACTCTATAAAAACGCTTCACTGCGTCAAAAAACCAGCTACAGATTTGACAGCATGAGCACAAAACAGCTTCCATCATAACTGTTTAAAAGAAGCTGACATGCTTTGTCACCTGAGGTCCTGATAATCGGCGTCTTACCTGCTCTCGTGGGGGTAGGTCTGCGGAGGCGGGGCAGGCAGCTGGGTCCCGGGGCTCTGGTGTGGGACAGGGTTCGGCTGGTTAACGGGAGGGTTTGAATCCGTCACCGCGGCGTTGGGCTGAGTGGCGGCGTTGCTCGGCTGGTTCTTGGGGCTGTGCTGCTGGGCGAGGGGGCTTTGCTTCTCCGAGCTGTGGGCTGAGGGGGGGTTGCTGATTTCTGGGATTCAAAGAGAAACACAACATGCACTTTGAAGCTTTACTCAACCAAGAAGAAGTCCCTTTTTGGGGCTTAGAGCGGCATTAACACTGCAGATTCAAAGGGGTTTCTTAGGCACAGCTGCAACTTGTAAACACAACACTGAAGAACTATGACCTTATAAAGTTGATACAGCGAATTAAATATTTACACATCCAGCAGACATGAAGCAACATTTGCATTCGGCTCTATTTCTGGGTGTCTACAAACTCCTGAGGGAAATATCTGGCTCTTTAGCTGCTAAATGTTTGACTGTGTTTACCGACGAGTTGCAGCAGGTTGTGTCGAGTGGGTACAGAGTTTTGTCTCCTGCTGGGGCGGAACATTTCACAATAAGAGCGTTAGGATTAAAGACAAAATAGTGACGCTGTGGGAGAAAGAATAAAATCAAACCTCATTTACAGCTTTTAAAAACTAAGAGGAGCCGAAAGATTCAGGCTCATCGCTATGAGGGGATCCCCACATAGTATACATTGATTAAATAGGAATATATTGATGCGATGCATTTGGGAAATTTGTCTTGGGACTTCAATGCTGCACACATTTAGCTGCCTCCACAGTAGAATCAACAAACAAAAACAATGGAAACAAACAGTGATCATGATAACCCATATGGCCTGTTATCCCCATCAGCTGTCAATCATCACTTTACTTTTTATACAATCTTTGCATTGAACTTGATTATCTTTAAATTATTGCAGATTGAACCGCTGGCCTGCACAATGCGAAAAAAAAGGAGACTAAATGGAGCTGTACCGTTCTACTCAGAGTCCAAAACTTAAGAGGAGACCTTTACTTTAGCCTAACATGGTGATAAAGGGTGATACACGCAAGAGCATTCAACAGAAAAAAGGTGTCAAAAAGTGGGGGACACAAGCAGCCATTCAAACGAATTTAATCAAAAGAATATGGTGTTCTTTTCCCCCTCTTTAAAGTGAAAAGAAATTCATCATCAGTTTTAGTATTCTAGTAAGTGTTGCTGGCTTTGGCAAGATTAAAATCCTTTTCATCAAAACTGACATCGCTTTGACTGCAGCATAAAAGAAACACTGAAAAGCATGCACATTTTTTTTTTTTAGTGCTGAAATCTTTGTGCACACTGTTCCATAGTCACCAGAATGAGAGACAGCAGCTCTGCTCAAGCTTTTGCATGCAAACGTGATTTGGAGATTCAGTGAAAAGAATGTGCAGAGCAAAGGAACACATCTCATGAATAAGAAGAGCAACAGTTAATGAAATAAAAAAAGAAAAAGAATCAGATTTTGTCAAACACTCACTGTCATGAATCATGGTCTTCACACAGTGTTTTTCCTATCATGTACGTGTTCCCTCACCTTCCTGCGGGATGATCCTCAGGGTGACGCTGAGGCCCGCGTCTTTGATCAGCTTAACGATGTCGGCGTGCGGCATGTTGACGATGCTCTGGCTGTTCACCGCCAGGATCCTGTCCCCCACCTTCAGTTTCCCGCAGCGGTCGGCTGGGCTGCCCTCGATGATGCGGCCGATTTTATGGGGCACGGCTGTTGGGGTGGAAATCAAAACGCAACACGGTGAAGGTGAAATAAAAGAAGACGTGCCCGGGAGCAGATTCGGTGGATTATTCCTGTCCTGTTTCTTACTGACTGACTGAAAAATGTCTCTCTCTCATTTTGCTATTCACCCCAGGCTTACGTAAGGCATCCAAGTTTTTTTTTCCATGTGTGTGGGCGATGTACTGATGCTCATGTCGGCATAGCAAATATGTGTTTGAGTGACGTGCTGTGGGAGGAGATGTGTAACTGAAGAGATGGAATGAGAGGTGCTTCACTTATTATTGAGCCATGACCTCTCCAAACTCTTTAAGTACGGCTCATATCTTGACATTAAATCGAGTTTGCCTTGTAGTTTTTTTTTAAGCGATAAAGAGCTGCAGCACTTGTCATAAGGAGCAGAGTGCGGCTGGTGATGAATAAGCATCTACTTGACTCCACGGCACTAACACAATCAGTGGACTCACTGTTGGTGGCCGCGGCCTCGGGACGATTGAGCGAGCTGATGATGACGAAACCGAAGCCTTCGCTCTCCTTGCGGTTGATGACGACGTCGCTGGGTTGTGTGTTGGGGGTGGACGTCCTGTCTGAAGTGGCGTTGGGCGCCTGGGCGGTGACGGTGCTGTTGCCGTATGTGAAGTCACTGCGGGGGGAGCTGTGCTGCGTGGAGACGGAGCCGGAGCTGCGGCCGTTCTCCGGACAGGACTCACCTGTAGGGGGAGGTAGAGAGCTTAGCGACAATAACTACAAACAATAGTTGAAGATGTTATTGGAGTACATTTTCGTTTAACTTATCCTTTGTTTTTAGGATACATATTGTTAAATGCTCAATATATCCATCACCTCACAATCATACTTTAGTACTTTTCTTAAAGGCTTTATATGCTTTATACCAAAACAACTCGCGCTGCATTGTTGTGTTAGCATGCTAATGCTAGTGATCTTTATTATGCTGGTATCTTCACACTGCATGTAAATTTACCTGAAATGAGCGTGATCTAGAAACACAGTTAAGCAGTGAGTACAGTATGTTATTCTTCTTTTCTCTAGTCCCTCAATTAAACAACTTTTATACACGAGGGGAGGAGTCAGCTGCCGTCCGGGCGATGTAAACAAACTGAAGATAGGACTCTGAAAACTCTGAAAACATCACAGACAGTGGGACTCGGGTGTTACACCCATTGTAGACAGTCATGACTCACAGAGTTATTTTCAGAGGATATACTTGATTTCTACATTTAAGTGTGAAAAATCACACTTTAAGTAAATGTATGTGACAAATGGGAGGATCTCAATGCAGCAGTTTTAGCACAAAACAAAAATCAAATTCACCTAGTCAACTCCTGAATCTCCCTTTATCCTTTAAAAATATATATATCTTTATAGATGTTGTTCAAAGTGACTCTGGAGGAATCTTAAGGATACATTTGCAAAGAAGAAAACCCCCCAATTAATTCAACAATCAAAGTTTCAATTATCTCTCCTCCTATTGCACGAGCTGGAGCTGAATTTGACGTGAAGCGAACTCGAGACAGCAACACAAAACAGAGACGCGAAAACAACTGTCACACAATGTGTTCAAACGCATCATTAAGATGGAGCAGCGTGTCAATCCAGACAGCGAAAGCAGCTTCTCTATTTTTTATGAGTGTATGCGTTGTGTCGTAGTAGCGAGCGATCAAACCCTGGGTTGTTGTTTTGTGTAGGAGATTTAAACTGTAGGTTTAGCTTTCTGTTGGGAAGTTACAGCAACATGTGTCCCTGCAAAAAACGTACATACTGTATGAACATGTAGTATTTCCTTACAGCTGCAAGTGCAGAGAAATATATTTCATGAGAAGAAAAAAATAGTCAAAGAAAGAGAATGCATTGTGTGAAATGTGGGGTTTTGGGTGCAGGCATGAGTACAGTACGATCTCAGAGTCTGACACCTCACAAAGTGCCAGTGGGAGTCAGACAATTAGGATGGAAGTGAGGGCCGCAGAGGAGGCCAGGCATGAGTCACACTGTGGCCTTTGGTGTGAAGGAATTGACAGAGAGGGCGTCATGGAGTGGGTAGAAGTGGATTGGTGAAAAAGAGTATGTGTATGTGTGTCTCAGAAGGCTGTGATAATGAGAACACGGGAGGACGAAGTTGAAATCGAGGTAGTGGCACCACAGTCGACAGGAAACAGGTGAGTAAAGCTGCAAAGGGCCCGAGAGGAAGAGCGGGAGTGAGCGGATGTTTTATAAGAGGAGGCTTCAGCACAATCACTCAGAGAAGATTAGGGCTTCAATTTTCTAACTGATTAAACGCAGTTTTCTGAATCATTAAAGTGTAAGAATGGTAGTATGTGAAGAAAAGAAGAGGGGGGGGAGGAGACTGGAGGGAAAAAGAAAGAAAGAATTCAATGAAATAGAGGACAAAGATGTGAGTAGTGAGCCTGTGAAATCTTTATAAACTGTTATCCAAACGCTGCTCCATGCAGAATTAAACACTCGGCAAATGGACTTTTTTTTTTTTTTTTTTTTTAGGCGAGCGAGAGGACAATTTATCCAATCATAACTTCCTTAAAGGAAACAATTTATGATCGCTGACGTCCCTCGTCTGTATGTTACTCTAATTAGTTTCTACCTAATACGCAGAATTAAAAAAACGTCAATACAGATTTTTAAAAAGTATTAAACAATTTACTTGAAAGCTTTTCAATGGAGGACACAATGCATCTGTTGGGGACTACTTTCAGCTGTGGAGTGATACATACTTGGTGCTTTAATGACGTATTATTACGCTATAAGATAGAAAAAGAATGACAATAACTGGCCACAACACAAACATATTTTTCAGTCTGTAGGGACTTGGGTTGGGAACTGGAGGGTCACTGGTTCAATCCCAGGGCACCCACTACACTATCGGCGCCCTGTAAACATCTTTTTTTTTTCTTTTTTTTTTTAAAGAAAATACACGTCATTGTAGGAGAATGTAAAAAAAATAAAATAAAAAGTGCCAGCAGCTTTCCTCACCTGCTGCCTGCATCCTCCTCCTGATGACCAGGTTGACCTGTCCGTTTCTTGCCGCACCGTGCATCAGGTCGATAACGTATCTGTGAGGTTTCCCCACCACCGGGATCCCGTCCACAAACAGCAGCTCGTCACCGGGTCGTAAACGTCCGTCCAGGTCTGCCGGACTCTTCTCGATGATCGCACCAATCAGGATCTGTTATTTGAATGTAAACAGTTACAAACAGGAAGTGGCGGTTTAAAAGAAAGAGCTTCAGATTGTGTTACATGCAGTGTGTGTTAAAGTGGCAGTGTAGTTTTAATATCATGATTGGTTTTTTGAACAGACAGGGAAAGACACCAAAAGCAGCCAGAGCCAGCACTCTCTCAGGTCAGGGGGGTTAGGTGTACACAGTGTGTGTGTAGTGGGTTAGAGAGGAGAAGATGACAGGGTTCCACGCCCATCGCCATACGAGCCTTCTCACGCGTCTCCGGACTCACAGGCTGCCCGGCCTCGTCCCCGCCCAGCACCCGGAAACCAAAACCAGACTTCTGTCTGCGCAGGTTCACCTCGATGTCCTGGTACTCTGCCCCTGAACCTGAAGGGACAAAAATCACAGAAAAAGGTTTGAATAAAGCTTCAACGTCAGGAAGAGTTTGTACCTTTCCTCACAGACGTGGATTTTACCTGAAGAGTCGACAGGAAATACAGTCCTTGGTTGGCCTGGTTCTAGAAAAAAAAAAAGATACAGAAAGCATCCATAAAGACAACGACAAACACACAGAGGCACACATCGATAGACAAACACTTTCTCCCATAAAGACCAAAGCAAGGCAGAAAGGCGCTGCCTCAGCATTAATGCCACCACAGAATTTCAGCATCATCCATAAAAGTCAGGAAGTGCTTACAGCGTGTAATACACCCATCTCTTATTTACTGTGTGAGCCTGTGTGAGCGCTGATCTGCAATCAGGGGGCTTCACACAACGCCGTGATCTGCAAAAGTGGTGGAATGAACTCAAGCGCAGACAAGTGGCTGCGAATGAAAAATTGATTCCAATTGTAACGGTTTTAATCACACTGAGCGCTCTGCCGGGGCCCAGCGGGGGATGATGGGAAAAAAACAAAAAAAAAAACAAGACTGCAGACAAAAAGGAGTGATGCAGCTGTAACCATAAGGACCCCATGCGACGCTGCTGACAGAGACGGAGCTGGATTTAAAGACGAAAACAGGAGAGAAACCAAGTATCTTAAACAAAATTACATCATCTCTGCTTCTGCTGAAATGAAATATCATAGAAAGGTTATCTTCACAAATCATCACACCTCAAAGTTCATTTAAAATCTGTAGATCCTATTTTTCTCAGCACTTTTTTAGAGAATGTTGACACTGACCTGGTCTTAAAAATAAAAAAAATAATAAAGTTAAGACTTTTTAAGGATCTGTGGGAACTCTGAATATAAAGAAACATTTTTTGACAGACCTTTGTGAAACGATAGTGTTTTCCTTCCCGGCTCCATTAAGCAGGGTTGATGTTTTATTATCAGACTTGACTTGACAAAGCGCTCTCATTTGTTTCTCTCTGCATCATGGAGAAACATTTCAACAGTTTCAATCACAGACATCTCTCGTCATCGTTCCTCTGTTAGAGTATCTAGCCGTGCAGATACTTTAGAAATGTCTTTACCTTGAAAACCTGTCTCTGAAAAATCTCTCTTTTCTGAGTAAGTGTGCTGTTACCCTGTTTCCTCAGTTGAAGGACTTCCAAGTGAAAATAAAACCCAAACTATCCATATGTTCCAAAACACTTATTATGTTTCATGTAGCTTGGTTGACCTGCCTCTTTAACTGTACTTGTTTACATAAACGCCGACTTGAATCCATGACTCACAGAAAATGTAACTGAACTAACATAAGCGGCTCACAGCGCTCCACCAGGAGGGCAGCAGCCCGGGGTTACGAATGGCCTTCATCACTGAAATGGGAAATGGAGCATTTCTAAAATCTGTCTGAGCCTATTCCCCGCCGAGTCTCCCCCCCTGACTTTTACTGAAAGAATGACATCAGTGCATGTTACACTGATCAGTGTATCTGCTGCTGAGTGAATGAGAGAGAGAGAGAGAGACAAAGAGGTTTGATGAGAAGCCTCTCTGACAGCCACGTCCTCCTGAATAACAGGTGCCTTACAGATGAGTGAACACCAGCGTTGTGTGTATAAACTTTTTCATGTCAGCCGTGAGCAGCACAAGGAGATTAAAAGTTACCTCCTAGAGAGTCCCACTCTTTCTCACACACCAGACACACAAAAACAACAAGATTACACTCCTACGTTTATGATATTCCTGGATGTTATTCACTCTCGAGTTGTATGAGTGAAGCTCGACACACTGTGACATACTGTGCACACACAGCAGCAAGGTTGTCAACATTTTCCATACTTAAATACTTTCCAAAATCATGTGTTTTAATGATGGATAGTATAGAAGCTTTTGAAAAATCTTCAGATCTTCAGTCATATTTTTTTAAATTCATGAATTCAAGAATTAAATGAATTCCAAGAAGCTTAAAAAGATGTAAAAAAAAACCTACATTTTTTATTTTCTCCTCACACACATCACCTCAGTATTTCTTATATCTTCCAAACAGCCCTTCACACACACACACACACATAAAAAAAAAAAAAAAAAAAATCAATCAAACTCGTTTCTACTACTAAGCTTCCCGCAAGGCATTCCAGTTATGATGCATCCTGATGATATCATAACAAGACAAAATGACTTTTTTTCCCACATTTTTACAAGCAAGGTGATGGTAAAATTACTGCCACTAGAGTATTATGCTCCAGGAAGAAGAAAAAAAAGCTGCAGTGTGTTTATTTATCTCAGTTTATGATGTGGGATGTGTAAAGATCGCCCCAGTCAGTAAAAACAACCGAGCTGTCGGCAGCTGCTTTGCTTGTGTTTTTTTGCCTTGTGTGGGCATTTAATGAGCGGGGATCAAATGAGGTAATATCAGGGTTTGATGATGTGTCTGAGCGTGCAAAACCCGGCAACACATCTTCTTTTGGATTGAAAGAGGTCAGCTCATTTTTGAAGAGGTTGTTTAGGTCGTCAGCAGAAGTAAACGAGAAGAACCTGTGAGTGAATGTGAGAGATCATTTCCCTTGAGGGGGTCTATCTCTCAGCTCGGGGTACTTACGCCTACTCTCATAGACAGTCCTGGACTTCTCATAAAGATCATAAGGGTCTGGTTTAGCCAGGGCCAAGGCCTCGGAGGCTGAGTCTGGGACCGAGGCCCTGTGGAGATGGTGTGTTGGGAAGGGGGCGTTGTGGGGGATAACGGGGGCTGACAGGCTGGTCTGAGCGGGGCTGCTCTGGCCCTGCTGGCACTCCCACTGATCCAGAACCTGTGAAGCACATCGGCATGAGCGGTCAACATTTCACGTCCACCTTTCTTCTCATGACACTTGATTTAAGCTCACTAACAATAAAAAGTGACACTAAAAACTGAAGCAGATGTCTTTCATGAAGTCTGATCGTTCGCTAACCCCCGCCATGCTAACAGTCGCTATTGCTGTCAAGTTTTTCATTCTCGTACTTACAACCCACGACTCAAAATCATTATTTAATCAGCAGGTCTTCAACAGCAGACAGAGATACACAAACAAAGCGTATATTTGTTTGTATTTTAACTGTTTTGAAAGCTAGCTTCTTTTTCAGTGCTACAGTAAACTTCAGTTAGCTAGCTGGTTGAAAAGTCTAGATGATTTATTTAGCGTCTCAATTTGTTTGAACTTTAACGAGACAAAAAAATGTCACCATTGTTACCAGATGACATAAACTATGGTACAGTGTTGCTCTGTTACAGGAAAACGTTAGTTAGCCAGCGCTAATATAACAGTAAGCTACATTATACTCTCTAGTAATGTAATTAAGGAGTTTCTCCAGTTAATAACTCAGAAAGGAACAAAGGGTATTATGGTATGAGTACTCCTTTTCAAAAGCACCATTTATAAAAAAAAGAAATGTTTGCAAGTAAAAGAGATTTAAGTAAACAAACGTTCTCGCTAACTAGTGCTAGTTTAGCTAACTGGCTTTACATTAGCGGGGGAGAAAACAGGGGAAAGGCATAACAATACTCGACACTGTGATATTCTCAACAGAAATGTTGGACACCAAACCAATAACCTTACAGTGTAATGTAATATTTTAGTACCATAATGCCTTTGAAAATAACGCAAGGGTATTACCGCGGGAACTAGCCACTGATGCGTAGCCTACATTTTTATGCTAATCGCTAATATGCCAATTACTTCTGTGCCTTTTCGGTTTTTCAACAATCTCATCACTCTGTTTCACTTTATATTTATTTTGGAGAAGGTTTTCAGCATGTGGTGAAATCAAAAGCTTGACAGGTTTTATTAACTAGTTATGATTAACTAAATAAATATTGCAATATTTGTAGGAGGGGTGTAGCTAACGATCAATTCAATAAAGACAAACGGGGAAGGCGGATAGTTAGTGGGGTTAGTATAGTTGAAACAATAAAAAGCAATTTCAGCCTCTATTTGCCACTCAGATCACAGGGTGTATGAAGGATGTGTGGAGAGGAAACACAAGAGTAATATGATAAACAGAAACATATGGTCATATTTAGGAGGGGGTTACGGTCAGTGACACTTCAGTTTGGTGCTTTATTTAGTTTTTAGTTAAATGTTAAATTCCAAACTGTACAAATGGTGAGTCCTCTGTCTATTGTGACTGATTTTCATAAGATTCATCCAGAAACACATTTGGAAAGCTCTGCCGGATGTTTGTGGTGACACTGGCAGTTTTGACAACACCAGTCAGTCTGAGTGTCAGCCTTGATGTGTCAGATAAACCACGGCCGCTTGAATCACTGCGCGACACTGAGAAGATAGCCAAGATGACGCGTCGACATGTCAGAAAGTGTGATCGACGGATCATGAGGGGAATGACAGGCTTTTTTTTTTTTTTTTTTGTTGAAAGTGAGATGGCGAGACTCGCTGCATATGGCGCGCTTTAATATTGAGAATTACAGGGCAGCCGGTTCAAGATGCACCGAGAATAAATATCAGCTTCATAGAGGCTGCGGGGCCGGAATCAAAAGTGTTCCTGCTCTTTGTGGATTCTTCGTGTCTGCTATTGATGTGAAGCACGTCTGCACACGGAGGCCGGCTGCTGAGACTGGGGGCCGAGATTAGACTGCTGCATCCTGATCTCCCTTTCTCTCTCTCTGTCTCTGTCTCGGTCTCTCTTTGTCTGCTGGAGAAAGTACACCGATGCTGTAATCTACCTGGTCAGATGAATAGGGGACACTGCAGGCAGGGCGCCTTTTCTTGACAGCTTCATTGAGCACTCGCATCTTAACTTGCTCCAAAAAATTAAGTCGCTGTTACCTGCAGTTTTGGGCCCAATTTGACAGACGAGTCTCGATACTTTTGCAAATTAAGCTCCCAGGAGCTGCAGGCTCGGCTTCGGCTTGACAATTAGGCAATTCCCCTTTCTTTCCTTACAAGTCAAATTCCTCCATATTTAATTTTCACGAGCTTCACAAGTCTCCCCATAACAAATAAAACAAAATGAAACGGAGGTAGAAGTCTTTGCTGGAGCAGAGCGGCGCAGAAAATGAACACTGGGGGGTAAAGAGAGAGAGAGATTTGATTAGTAAAGACACGAGAGAGAGAGAGAGAGGCTCTGCATGCCGTCTGCCACTTTGTGAGGTTCAGAGATTTTTTTCCCCCCTCCGAGCTCGGAATGACAATTACTCTGCGCATGATGGAGGAGATTGATTAGATCGAGAGGCAGTTTAAGCGATGAACACTGATGGGGACGAGTGTCTTAAAAAGGGGGGGGGAGGGAGGCGTCCTACTGACGTTTGAGTGGAGACAACACAGGCGGAGGTCAGCGACCGGTCAGAGAGCAGCATTCAGAGGATGTCCAGGCATGAAATGGATTACACACATACTCGCTCAAAGAGAAACAAAGAGACGCGTGACAAATACACAAAAAGACTGAGTGGATATGATCTAAGAGGATATATGCGGATGAGTTTTTTGTGGCCCCGGGGGGATAACAGATGATATTATAGTAGAATAATCGTTGTGGAAGAGGAAGCAGTGGCAGAGGGTTATTTTAATGTGGTAAAAGAAAAGAGAGATAGATGTGTAGGGTGATGATAGAGGGCAGAGTGGAAGTGCAACAAAACTTTACACATTATCTAGGAAAAATGTAGTAAAAATGAAGATAAAGGGAGGCCTGAAAATGGATCTTAGCCATGCCAAAGCACTTAGAAGAGAGACTCAGAATCTTAAAGCTGGAGCATAATTAGGAATGCCCCCGAGTATGTTTAACCCTGATGGCACTGAGTCAGGCTTTGAATTAGCTCTGACTTGCAGGATCAAGAGTCTGGTGATGTTACGAGCAAGCCACTTGACCTTTTTTGTCATCTTGTGACAATAAAGACGGGCCGAATATCAAGGCGGTGTAAAAGCCACGGACAGATCGTGAATTATCAGCAGAGTTAGTACGACGGGGGAATTAAAACGTTATTTCTAGTACAGAAAAAAACACAAGATTAGAGGCATTGTGATTAGCAGACAGGGTATGCACACTGCAGCCAGTCTACTCTATAGTCATGGTTTAAGAGCAGAAATGGGGACAGTCCCATTTCGGAGGCTGGGTTTCATTTTACCTGCTTAGGGGTCTTCCAGGGTGAATAGTGACCTGCAAATGTTGAGAGAACAAAAAAATCCTTTAGAGTGAATAAGATGGTAGAAACAAATGATGAGGTGTGAGGTTTCATTTAAGCTGCAACGAGCCTATTCCAGAGGATTTTAGGAGGATAATAAAAAACAGAAGAAATGGAAAAAAAACAAACAATAGAACTACAGATAAGTAAAATGAAAATAAGCACGATACACGAAAATGGTGTTTGTGAACGACAGGGCGGACAAATAAAAGTACAATCGACTCAAACAGGATGAAGACACAAAGCAGAAGATGGAGAATAAATACCCACGAGGAACCCGCTCACTGTGAAGGCGGGACGATAAAAGAGTGGTAATGAAAAAGACGCAGCAAAGACTTGGGAAAACATGATAAGCCATCAACAGTATGGAGAAATGATACAAACTTATTATTATAACGGCGCCAACAGAATCAGCTTTTCCGAAAAGGACAAGGATTATTTTATAATTACTTTATGTACTTTTGGAGTTTTTTTTAGGTGAGATCTGAACTTTCTACAATGACAAATATGGTCTCTAATAGTTTACAGCAGAAAAATGTATCTTTCTTTGCTCTTCAGGATAGCAAAAAACAACAATCATCAATTAAAAACATCACCTTTTAAAAGAAGACACCACCAAATTGAACCTTGCACTCCTATAAAGTACAGGATTAAAAATGGGCGGCTATGAAAAGCAATGCAGCAAAACTCGTAACTAAATTACCCACAATGCTTCACAGCCACCAAAGACTCTAACAGAGATCTAGGTGTGTAATGCTAGTAGCCGCTAATGTAGTCTTAAGTCTCTCGTCTCAAGCAGAGACAACTCCCATGATTCTCCACTAGCCTCGTCGTCATCCTTAGTTATTTTTGTATTGATTGAGAGCCCCCTGGTGGTGGAATCTACATATTGTATCTTTAAAGCTTAAAATGCCTTGGACTGTGAATCATTGATTATATGATGAATTAATAAAATATCTTCTTTGAAAGAGATAGGCTGTTTTCGAAACCACATACTATACTAGTAGTACGTACTGATTTGGCCAAAATGCAGTATGCAGTATGTGAACAACTGCGAGATCCGCAGTATGCCAAAAATACCAGGATGTCATACTGATTCGGGAAAAATGTACAGTATGCATCGGACCAGTCTACCTCACGTACTGTTTCCCACAATGCAAAGTGCCAGGTCAGAGATGAAAATGCTGGAGCGCAGCTGTTTGAACTCGTCGGTGGCGGTGACTGAATATCTTGCCACATTATGGGCATGAACCAATAACAAATATGACATGTTCATATGTTTATAAGTCTTGCCACCTCAGATTTTCCTGCTTTTTGAGACTGTACAGTGAATGTGCCACAGCTGGACAAGCAGCTGCAATTACAGGGTCCTTGGCTTGCTCTATTACTACATATTATTCACAGCTGAGTAAAAGTTAAACCTGAATGTCTGAAAAGTATGCTACAACTTTAATATCATGCCAATCATATTTCAACCCAAGGCATTGTGTATAAATGACAGAAGATATGAGGGATTGTAGACTTTAATTATGTTAATTGCCTCCAGATGGGCTGTTGTTTACTTCCACATTCCAGGACCGGAAACCAGTTTAACCGTGCCAAGCATACTGCAAAATAACCGACGACTGGCAGTCATACTACATACTACTGTTGAACTCATCATATACTATGTATGTAGTAAGCGGTTTCGAAAACAGCCATAGTGTGTGTTTTTAGTGTCCTTGTTGAGACCCCACCTCTCCCATGAGCAACTTTAAACCTCCCATCCATCTTCAGCCCAGATTTAATCAAACATCAGCTCCCATAAGCTTAGGCTATGGTCTCTCTATTGCCAAAAGGGGGCTTTATTTGGATCTACGATCGATCTGTTTTGGGCCACAGCTGCGACAAAGAAAAGACAAAGGGATTTGAGAATGAAACGACTCACTTAAGTGGCTTCGGAAAGACTGTACCTCACAATAAAGTGTTTTTAATGAAGCGCAGATAAGGAAAAGGGCATATGTTTGCTTTTGACTTTACCATTCATCTTACTTTGACCTTTAGAAAGCTGCGCCGCTCATTTCTGCTGCTTATGAAGAAAAACAATGAGATGAATGTAGAACAGAAGCAGCTGACATCAGTTTGTGCAAAAACAAACAGAGTAATGAAACATATGTTCAGCCCTGTTTCCATAGTGAGATTCACAGGGAAATATGAGACATGTATATACTCAAATGCTCTCCTCCTGCCTTTGAAATGCTGCCACATTCTCCCTTCTGAACGGCTATAAACGTATGCAAATGCAGCGATCGAGTTACGGGTTGACTAATCGAATTATGCGCCAGCCTCCCCAGTCTTGGCCTGGCCAGACTCCAATCCAACTGTAAAAAAACCCAACACATTTATCTCACTGAGCCCACAATGGAACGGTGACAATGTGGAAATTAACAAAGCAACACAAACAAGGACTGAAAGTTTTTTTTTTTTTTCTCCGTCAGACTGTCAGCTTCTCTCAGCCAAAGAAAGTAAATATAGAAACAAACACTCACTTTAGAAGAACTCATGGAAACGCCAAATACATTTTGAATATGATTGCAGCTAAGAACAGACAGGATTTCTGCTTTTTTATCTAAACCTAGATCTAAGTCACAGAGCAGTCGTCAGAGTTGTGACAGAGCCTGAGCTGAGCGGGACGGACAGAAGCGAGGGGCACTACAAGGCATCGGTGACCGAGGTGATCCTCGGGGGTGCCGTCACTGCTAACTCAGGCACAGCGGACATTTAGTGGGATGTGGGTGTCAGAGTTCCCCATGGCTAAAAGTTGAGAAGGAGGTGAGAGACAACGAGAGAGAGAGAGAGAGAGTTGTGAGAACCAGGGAGTGAAAGGAGCTGTCCGAGGTGCTGAAAGCCCTCTGAGTGAATCCAAGTTGTCAGCTGGGATTCAGAAAAGTACAGGAACTCGCATGGTGTCAAATTTAAGCTAACTGGTGTCCTGTTCTTCTGTAAGTGGCATCTTTTAGTCATGCATCAAAGAATCTCAACTGTACTGCCCTTGTGGGAAGATAGAGAGCCAGGGCAGAACAAACTAAAAACAAAAAAACACATTACAATAGTCTACTAAAAGGTAATTATTGCTCATGTAAGCACTGTATATCCTCCTTGAGTCCTTATTGGTACATATTACTCACACAAAAAAAGTCTCCTTTGCAGAACTGTATCAAACACACATTCAGCTACATCATGAACCCCACATTACCTGAAGAAATGACCCTGACTAGCATGACAGCACCTAGTATGAACAAATGAAAATAATTGAATGTTTTGAGGATCTTATTGAGTTCATTTATTAGGAATAAGGTGATGTCTAAATTAACTTAAAAGGCAGATAAAACAGCGGGAATAAAGGAAGGTAATCTCACTTTTTCATGCTCTAAATTGAGAATGTAAAATGGTCCCTGAATCCATAGATTGTGTATCAATGCAGACCTGTTTCACCTCATCCTCATGAGGCACTGCTTCAGGTACCCATGAGTAAAAAGTGTCTGGTTTTTTATTTCTGTCCCCAAAACTTCCAATTAAAGAGATCTGAACTGGGAATTGTTTCCACACAGCCTTTTCTGAGTCCGAGTTCCTGTGGCAACAAATGGAGCCGGTTTGATCCGACTCTTTCATCTTGTACCAAAAAGTTACAAAACTCAGATTTTCAAGTTTGATTATCGCCTCAAATCATGAATTAACCACCTCCATGGGATTGTCCTGAACAAAAAAATAGGACGACACTCATTTACTGATTTAACAGAAATGTGATTCAATTAAAAAACACTCTGCGTGGGCGACACGACAAACAAAGCGCACACACTCACACACACACGGCTACATTTGTTACCCCATTCAAAAACACAGATCTCTTTAATTTCACAATGAGAGGCTAATGCTAGCCCTTCAATTATTCAAATGAGACAGTGATGACTCTAGAATGAATAACAGCGTGCTGAATCTTTCAGCTCTTTATGAATATCTTTATCTCATGAGGGAGGCTGGCAGCTTCACACAACACACACAGCAGAAAACTGATTCTGTTCACTCCTATTGAATCAGCCGCTTCATATTCTTTCAGTCTAGCTGCATAATGCTAAAGTCATGATTGAAAAAGGTGTGCAGTTGAATATGCAGAATATGAAGCTCAAGACAATGAAAGATTACTGACCATGCTCCGGCTATCACTGGGAAACAAATCTCAAAACATTAGAACTCAAATATGAGTGTACGATACGATTAATGTGTGTTTCAGTTAGTGTAAAGGGTGTGTGGCGCCGATTCTGTGGTTCCAAATGACGTCACCAGTCCAATATGACAGCGTGGGTCGTAGGGTATTTTGGCTTCAAAATACCCCATGGAGGCAGAGACATGCTGTCCATATGAACAGTCAGTGGTTCCCACTTTAAAAAAGTGAGAAACTTGCTGCCTATCGTTTCTTTACATTTTAACAAAACATAAGAAGCTTCTTTTTTTTTCTGACAGTTGGTTAGACAAAAGAAAATACCAATATTTTAACGCATCATTTTATAATTTTTAGATATGTTAAAAGTCAATTTATCTTGATAATAATCCACAGATGAATCGAAAATGAAAATGAAAATGAGTTGCATTCCTGGAGCCTTTTGCCTCCGTTATCTAAATTGACTGTGTTTAACCCTTTCTATCCCTGCTGTAATCTAATCCCAAATAATCCTGCCGTCCTGCACAAAGAAGCTTGGCTCTCTTCCCAGGAACGACCGGACGGAGATATTGATCCCTGGCGGGTTTGGAGCTGGCGGGGACAGAGCTGTAAGTGTGAACACGGCCGACAGTCTGCGATCTACTGGCAGAGAGCCGAACTCATCACTCCCCGGCTCTCTCTCTCTCGTCCTCCCTTTTTCTTCCTCTCTTTTGTTTCCAACTATTCTATCTTACACACACACACAAGCAATGAATCACTGTCTAGTTACACACTGATTCCCCAGGAGGCTTGAGGAGGCTCACTGAATCAAACCCTCCTTCTTTCTGTTTCGTTTCTCCACCTATCTTCTCTTGGTTCTTAAAACGGCCTCTGGTCATCAGTGTGCACACGACCAATCCGAGGTGAAAGGTCCGCACAGACAGCTGATTCATAATGCGCAAATTACCTAAGACATTACTACAAAATAGAGTTTACATAAGTGTGTGTGTGTGTGGAGGGGGGCTTGTTTGCAGAAGGCAGCTTTGGGATGTTTACGAGTAAGACCATGGTAGTGTGTGCCTGCCTGGCTGTCGTGTAGGTGTGTGCACAACCTGTGTGAATCAAACCATACGGTGCAGAGTTTGCACGAGTGTGTGGGCAAGGTGGTAATGCGGCAAGATAGAAGAAGCTAAATGGCCGAGCGAGAGTACATGTGAACGAGCTCCTCAGCTAATTACAGCCCTGGGTCTCTGCTGGTGTTGCAGCGAGGACACAGACGCCTGCTAATGGTCGAGATAGCCGCTAATGAGGCTGTCTGCCATGCACACAGACACACACATGCACACATACATATGTAGCCACTGACACACACAAACACACAATAATTACTGGTGATGAGAGACATTTGCCCATTTGTTGGGCAAAAATGGCTTGGAAGTCAATCTTAAATTGAAGGGATGGATAAATATCCTAAGTGTGTTTGAGTGTGGGCTCTTGAAGCTGATGGCGCTTCATTTGCTGGATGGTTTGCTCGTCATAAATGGCTCACTGTTCAGATAGTGACTCGGTGGTCTGCTCACTTCAATGTCTTGCTTTGATGACAAGATCTTTGGGGGCCAAGGCACATCCAACAGGGGACGTAAAAGACTAAAAAAAACCCCTGTGATTTCTTACCTGTTGTAATGAAATCTATACCACCACTGGTAAAACAAAGCTTATAACATCGAGTCTAAAAGAGGCTGACAACTCTTGATTCAAAAGAAAAGTTCTCCATTAACTATTATCAAAGGTCTGACAGGCTACTTAATGATTATTTCTCACTACCGACAAGAAATCAAATGAGCGCAAAGCAACACTGAAGCATCAGATGAAGCAAACTTTATTACCATAGAGCTGAAACACCAAACTTACCAATCCATTAACTGACTGAGTTGTACAAAAAGTTTAGGTTTTCCTTTCCTAAAAATATGTGTAAGTCTGCCCCAGGCTCCCACTTAGCCCGCAGCTTCCTCGTGTCTTCCTCTTTTTATTCACTGTGATTTGTCTACTACAACAAAGCTACATGTTATCTCTGCATTGTAATAATTCATGCCCACATATATTTGCTCGCTCCTGTGTCCATGACAACATCAAGCCTTGCTGAACAGCGACTACAACTTGTTGACACTCTATTTTTATTTAACACCCTGCAGTTTACTCCTTCATGATTCATATCACTTCTGAATTACTGAACTTCTCCATCTTTTTTCTTGGTCTTTCTGTCTGTGGGTGTGACAGAGAGAGAGGGATAGAAATACTCGTAATTATTGATGAAGCCCATCTGTGCTCCTTCCAGTTATTTGTGATCTCTGAGTTGGAGATTAGTGTGTCATCAGCGTAGAGCCAGAGCCATAAATAGCTAGAACTTTGTTGGTGAACTGTGGAAGTTCAGACTTTTGTGTGTGTTCTCTCACTGAGACCAGATACAGAGAGGTGCTAGCTCTGTCTGCAGAATAAAGGGGATAGTCATTCCAAAAAGTTCATTCATGCAGAAATGTGCACACTGGCATACTTCTAATCTTCGTCAGCTCCCGGTGCTTGTTAAATCCTCTGCTTCAGACTGTGTTTTCATTGAAAGTGATGAGCTGTGTGCTCCCCCCCTGAACTGGCAAATATTCGGAGTGTGTGCCAGAGACGGAAGCGTGACAGTTGTTCGGTGTTTGATATCAGTTGGTTGCCTCTATCACTCTGCTGAACTGGCTGGTGCCACAAGCCCTTAACAAGAGAAACAGCCAGTTCAATTAGATTTCGTGGCCAGTGTCCAGTGGTCCAAGGCAGCGGGGCAAATCGTGTTGTTAAGTGGTGGAACATCATTTCAGCAGCATGGTGACAGTTTTATTACGTTGGGTAATAGCTCGGCTAAACGCTTGGAGCTGGTTTCTCTCAGGAAGTTGGGTGGGGAAGAGAGAAGCGGCTCGATCTAAAATCTCACAGCCGACGCTTGGAGTCTCAAGTATGAAGGGAGTTGGGAATTGTTTGGAGAAACCGAAATGTTCACAACAACCAAAGTCCCACATTCTGAACGGGCACTGCACTAGTTTAGCAAATTTTAACAAAATCCACCCGAACAATTGCTGACAATGTAACTGCGCTATATTTAGGCATTTCCTGTCGACAAGCCACTTTGAATTAGCACGACCACATACCTCTTCCCTGACCTCTGACCCCGCAACTCTCGCAGTTTGTCTACATCTCTACATCGTCAAAGATTTCAAAGAGATTTTATTTTGCCCTTTTTCTCCAAAGAGAGTCTGAAGTCATGTATCTTAATTAGCAAAAAGTACGATTGTGTATTTCCTGTTTAATCACAAATCAACACTCTCAATGAATGAATAACCCAACTCAAGTCTTAGGTCAATTCTACACATACGTTTTCAATATGCCGTCATGAAACCTTAAGCTCAAACTGGGACGCACAGACTATTCCCCCCCCCCACCTCTAGCACCCACAGCTTGTCATGTCAACGGAAAGCAGCTCTAACAGATGTGACACGGCACCCCGGTGTATTGTTGTGAAGCGTAGCCGAGCCATATCCAATTTTGGAATAATCAGATGAAAAATGTAATGAAAATGAAGCTGTCATTTTCTCCGCAGGCTAACAGGCTGCTGTTTTAATGGGAGCGCTTGATTCGACCTTCGCAAGTGAAGAAAACAGGCAGATGGTTGGAGGGCCCCACCATTAGCTTAGCATGCGGATGGGGGACATTAATTGTGGTTTTGTGTTTGTGTATTGACAGACCGGAGGTTCTTGAGACCGTGGTACACATTTTGACCTCTCCCATGTGTTTTTTTTTTGTGTGTTTTGGGTTTGCTGTTGGTGTTTTAAAGGGAGTGGTTATAAAATATTAAGTGTCCTCTTTTTGGAGGGGATTGGAAAAGTTGCTAATTTCAACGAGAATCTGATGTTGTACACTGTCCTGTTTGTTGGCATTTGAAACATGGGCAGCGTAATAAAGTAAGAAAGGGCCGTAAATCTATTCAGAGGATGCTGCTGACCTTTGTTGGGAAGTCTCAGTGGTGTCTGGGGCAGCAGGCATTGGCATTATGACTCGTAAGTGACATTACACAACACAAAGAGGCAAAACACAGAACTACAAATTGGTCCCACACAAAAGCAAACGTATCATTGGTTCCCAATTGCAGCTGGCTTGGCTGGGAACTAAGAGTGAGTGCTAAAGTTCATGTGTCATCATTAACAGGATGCCAGGATAAATCAAGGACGGCCGAAAACTCAAAGATAGGGGAATTGTTAACAACATTTAGCAACAAGGTTTCACAGACAGATCCTATCTGTGGGGTTGATGAAGAGCCACCATTGCTGTTCTAGATTTAATTAAAATCCAACGTTTTAATCTACAACATCGAAGCTTTGGCTGATTCATTGCTAGCATATGCTGCACTACGTCTTCCACCATTAAATAAGAAGAAGCAGATCACAGCACCATCACACAAAACGTCTGTCATTCAAGCCACGGACACATTAAAGAAGACAGGACAGGCAGTCTTTCTCATTTCTTTTGAATTTAAATTTTGAGGAGGATTTCTGAACTTTTTAGCCTTTTCACGAGCCAACACAGACATTTCCACATACTTAAACACACTCTCAGAGCAGAAATGTTACCTGTTGTTCCGAAAATCACAACCCCTGTGCGTGACTCACGACCGAGTGCAGTGCATAATTATGATTGTCAGAGGGCCACACATTCAGAAAAACACAGGGTAGAGAGCACTTTAGAGCCATTTGCAGTCTACCAGTGTTTTTTTCTTTGTCGAAAAAAAGCTCTGCTACTTCTGACATGCTTTGATTTTGGGGGCTTTTAGTCCTACCTGGAAAAAAAGGGGAATGTAAAATTTGCCAAACATATGAAACTGACTTGACAAAAACAAAAAAATCACATCACTGCAAAGGGCATTCACTTCAATCAGAGAGTAGCGTTGACCAGTAGGAGGCATGGCTCAGTGAGGAGAGTAGAGAGAGATGTACTTAGCTAAAGAGAAGAAAAAGCTCTTTTTTTCTGCCTGAGTAAAGGAAATGGTTTCTAGGCAAGGCACCTGAAAGTAGCCATGAATCAGACAGCTTTTGTTGAGAAACCACAGGACTGCACTATAGGTTTCTGCAGCCTTTAGAACGCACCACAGATACCAGCACATTCAGCTAAAACAGGGGAAAGAGGTGACAAAGCCTGTAGAGATGTTCCATTACCACCTTTTCCCTTTGTGATAGCTTTAGATTAGGTTGCCTTAATATGGGAATCAGTTGACACCGTTTAACTATCCTGTTAGAAAACCCTAAGAACAACAAACGTTATAGGAATGCTAAACCGAACACAAGCAGACAACTTCAAACAAGCTGAACTTGCAGTCCCTTACACCTGCTGTGTTGACCAAAGCATTAGCAAACACAGATTTAAAGGCTTAGTATGCAAACTCTCCCTGGGGTTTGTTGTTCTCAGCTCTGTGTTCACACTGACAGAAAAGTGCTTCTTGCTGTGAAGTGTACTGTTTTGAAGCAGAAAAGTTGAAATGATTTCCATCGAAGCAAGTGGCTTATAAATCATGGTATTATATCAGTGGATTGGAATATTTGCTGAGACATGATCCAGCATTTTAAGCAGTATCAAAGCATCTGCACATCTCAAATAGATGTTTAGGCAAGCCGATGTAAGACTAGTGACAATCATACAAAAGCACACGTGTTGAGCCAGCAACCTTTCAAACCGACTCCAACTTCAGCCATCGCTCTTGCTCACCTGTTCCACCTCTCTGGATCACAAGGCAGGTCTCGGCTCCCACCGCACACTCCTTAAGAAGCTCCACCACCTGTGTGTGAGTGAATCCCTGCACCAGTTGCTTGTTAATCTCCACAATCAGGTCGCCCTCGCACAGACCAGGGCAACCCTGAGGCTCCAGCACCTGTTTGACCCGCTGGCCCGTAGAACTGTCCGCGATGGTGAATCCAAAACCATCCACTCCCTTCACCATGGTCAGGGTAAGCAGTTCCCCTTGGGTCGCCCCCGACGATGCCATGGAGACGCTGTCGGGAGGCGTGGTCCCGGTGGTGGGAGGAAGCGAGCCGTCCAAGTGGGTGTCACCGGGATGAGGGGTGAGCAGCTGCTGCTGGGCGTTGACCTGTTCCTGGCTGGGGTCGCTGACGTAGCGCGCGGTGCGGGATAAATAGTCCAGGTAGTTGTCGTAGCCAGTCCTGCCGTTCACCATGATGGGCCGCTGCTCCATGATGCCCAGCGGGGAGATGATGGTGGTGGTGGTGTTGTTGTTGGCGTTTCCGGCTTCCTCCGGGTCGTAGGGCAACGGGTAGCCGCGGCACAAGACGAGGGTGACGCTCTGACCAATTGGAACGGACTGGAACAGTTTGACCACGTCGGCGTGGGTGGTGCCCAGGACACACACGTCATTGATGTAGACGATGACATCACCTGCAGGTAAGAGTTAAGATAGACAGAAACATCATGGTGTGATGTAACGGCAGGAACTCTGGAGTGCAATCATTTTTTAAACAGAGCCGGGAAAGAGGGAAGGATTCTGCCCATTACTACCATTATGATAAAGATAATAACCACCGTGCTATCAAAATGCCACCACACAGGAACACTAATGATTTCCAATTATTGTTTATTTCATAAAGTTGGCATTTAACACACCACTTCCCATCGTCATGAGTTAATAAGACTTTCTCCACAGAAAACTATCGGGGCATGTTTTAATTGTTGCTTGCAAATTGCAGACACATTTTGGTTCACCTACAGGGCTCCTTTACTCTTGGGCACGGGTCTTGTTTATTCCGATTATAAAATGTGTCTAAATTAACAGGAAAGGAAATTGTATTGCGTCTCTAATTACAGCTTTGATGTTTCAATTGGTTGCCCAATAAGAGAGAGGAAAAAAGGCTGAACAGTGAAGGCAGTGTGTTGGCTGCAGAGATAACAGAAAGAAAATTGGAAGAATGACACTGGAGGACGGAGGTGGAGGGCGTCATGGGTGATGGAGACACCTGTGATAATGTACAGAAAGCCCATTTCATGAGAGCTCTTCTTGAAGACATGCAAACAGATTAATGGTTGTTTCCCATATTTAAAATCACACAGGGTTCAGACTGAGATCTCTCTAGCAGCTGCTGTAGTAGATATTATTTTACCTAAGAAGTAATTGCACGAGTACACATTTACTTTTCTTATGAAAGCAGAAAGAGAAACCCTGAATGAGATTGTAAATGTGTGGACTCTGCGGCTATGCTTGAACCAAATCAGCTCCACAGCGCTATAAACCATTCCTAAGGATAAATATTAAAAGAGATAAGTCCCTTATCTGCCTTTCTAGTGTTAAATAGAGCTGATGACAAGAGGCTGAAATGTTGGCCATTTATGGGCCCTAGTGTTTTATTTGCTTGCTGTGATATACTACAAGCACTGTAGATAAAAAAAAGCTGACAATTAAATGCTCCCACACAGCCAGGCTTATCTTTGTCTCGACTGCATTACTAAATATAGAGTTTGCGCTCTACTCAGCAGGCACCAAAACCCAGGGCGAGTGGAAACACAAGGCACGATCCATCTGAAAGTCTGACAAACAACATTACCTGAGTTGATAATGAAAACAATTATCTTTTGTAATTGCAGGCACTGTTGTTGTGCTGGCTTGAGAGAGCGAGTGTGTTTGGCAGAGGGAGATCGTGAAAGACAAAGATCCTTAATCATTAAAAAGCAAAGCGCGTGCTTCACTGATTGGCCCTCACCTTGCTAACCAGCAGCTCCATCCTGTCCAATTCTCCCACAAAACGTGAGCAGGAAACTATAATGGCACTAATGACCAAGTCAATGACACGTTTTCTAAAACAACATGGCATTGATTTCCTGATTTGATTATTGAAGTAGAGCCGAGCTGCTGCCTCCTCTGGGCAACAAAAGCCAGCGTTTAACGGGAGTGAAGACATCACTGAAATGTTGTCTCATTGTGTCTGAGGAAATCTTTCCAGGTTCTTTTGAAAGCAGGTGTCTGAGAGCCAGCTCACACCTTGAGGCAGCGTGACGTGAGGGACTTTTTAATTAATCTGGGTAAACTCTGACAACGTTTGCCTCGAGGGGGCCGGTGTCAGAATCGATAGTTTAGCACACTGGCAGAAAATAAATGAAGGTGTTGGTGACCTCGCCCTGGCCTCGACGTGTCCGCAGAACACATACTTTATGACCAAGGAGGAGCTTCAACTTGATGTCAAAACAATGATGTCACTTATAGCCACTCACTTTACCGTGCACGCTTGTATGAGAAGAGGGAGTGGACAAATACTTTGACAAACCTTTTCTCAACCTTTTGGCTCGTGGGTCTTTAGGAATATCCAGAGTCCACTCATGAGTCACATCAAAGGTAACACTTTCCTTGTGCCTTCAAGGATTTATTTAACTGCTCATGTTTTTTTTAAATTGGTAACTTTACAGGACTGAAATGTTAAAACCATCGAGCATTTCAAAGGAAAAATAAGTAAGTTTAGCTTGTTTAGCTGAAATTAAAATGCAGCCGTTAGCTGTTTTAATCTCTAAAATCACACCTTACTCACTATATTGTGTTGTCTTAACTATGAGTGAGCGTTAATAATAATAATAATAATAATAATAATAATTTATCCTTTATTAATCCCACGAGGGGAAATTCAGTTTTACACTCTGTTAAATGAACATGCGACACAAACATGGGCCGAAATACACACACATGCACAAACAGGATCCTATGGATATGCATTAATGGAGAGGGGGGCTGCCCACAGCGAGCGCTCCAGAGCAGTTTTTAGGGGTTCGGTGCCTTGCTCAAGGGCACCTCAGCAGTGCCCAGGAAGTGGACTGGCACCTCTAAAGCTACCAGACCAATTTCCGGACTTGGTCGATGCTGGGACTTGAGCCGGCGACCCTCCGATTCCCAACCCAAGTCCCAACAGACTGAGCTACTGCCGCCCCAAAGCCACTGCCTACTGTATAGTTATCATGCCATGTATAGTGCACTCATTGTATCACACAGAAACATATGCTGAGTTTTTAAAGAGTCATTTTTCAATTCTGTGAGTAGCACATATCAGATCCTAGTGGCATTGAACTCTCTAACTCAAAAACAGCTCGCACACCAAGGAGCAAAATACTGATTTTCTGTAATTGGGGTTAAAATGACCCCTCAAAAACTCAGGACAACAAAAGTATAAGAACAAACTCATGGCCACTAAATAGCCCTCTCTATTCATTATTACGTCTCCTGTAGGTCCATTGTATATTCTAAATCACACTGACCTTAACGGTAAACTCCACACTCCCTGAGACCAAGGCCCACGCTGCTGCCGCTTCATATTTCTTTGTCCCCTCCCTGCATATGCTTCATGACATATTCATCCACGAGCTAATGGTTGTGTTCAAGACTCTGTCGACAGAACACAAGGTCTCTGCGGCCTTGCTGCCCTGTCCTGCCCGGCCCTGCCCTGTTACCCCCCATGGTAACAGAGCGCTTCATAGTCTCAGCAGGGAGCGGAGGATGCAGCCTTTTGGTGTGTGAGAATGTGTTTATGAGTTTGTCTCAGGCTAAAAAAGGCTACCTTATCATTCAAAATGCATCAGGGTCACGTCAGACAGGCAGGGGTTATTAAGATAATGATGGGAATGTCTAAAAACTTTACAAACAACACTAAAAAAACACCTTGAATGATAGAGGGTGTATGATGTAAGGGACTGTCTGCTACAGAAATCATGGCTCAGCAGGCCTGTCAGGCTTTTGACATGCTTTAGCAGCAGGCACGCGGCTGTATAGTGTGATGTCATGGTTTAGATAAGGATGTGAAAAACATTACAAAAAGTAACAAGTGAGTTTTTCTACTATTATGTGAGATTAAATTGTTAGCATGCCTGGCTAACTAGCTTAATATTAGCTTAACTAGATAGCTGGAACTGACAAAACCTGCTATCATTAGCATTTCGACTTAGCTGCCTGATATGTCGGTGGTTATAAATGAAAGCCTACATCGTTTTTCTACATCCGTCTAAAAAATAACTATTTTTGATATCGACTAATGTCAACAGAAAACAGAGTTTTAAATATTAAAATCATGTCAAGCTAACACCTTTAAATGACTTTTACTAGCATCATAAAGCTAAGCTAATCTTTAAAGGCTTAATATGCACTTTTTCACACTTAAATATAATATAAATCAAGTATATCCTCTGAAAATAACTCTGTGAGTCATGACTGTCTACAATGGGTGTAACACCCGAGTCCCACTGTCTGTGATGTTTTCAGAGTTTTCAGAGTCCTATCTTCAGTTTGTTTACATCGCCTGGACGGCCGGCTGACTCCTCCCCTCGTGTATAAACGTTGTTTAATTGAGGGACTAGAGAAAAGAAGAATAACATACTGTACTCACTGCTTAACTGTGTTTCTAGATCACGCTCATTTCAGGTAAATTTACATGCAGTGTGAAGATACCAGCAGAATAAAGATCGCTAGCATTAGCATGCTAACACAACAATGCAGCGCGAGTTGTTTTGGTTTCATGCTGGTGCTCAAGGGCGACATCTGCTGGATCAAAAAAATCGCATATAAAGCCTTTAAGGAATCCACAAATAATATTACATTTCGGGATAATATCAACTGTGTGGTTTTTGTGCAGTGTTACTGTCTGGTATTATTTGCTAAATGAACTATGACAATGTGTGAGTAAAAATGTTAATGTCTATCAGATGAGAATATAAAGCACACTTATAGATGCAGCTCAGTGTAAATAGCCTTGTTGCTGAATGAGTGTTGAAGCAGCAAGACTCTCCAGTTTGTAACATACTGTTTAAACAAACCCACTTAATTTCAAATTAAATGTTGCCTCTGGCATCAAATCTAAGCCTCTCCACTTCAAGATAATTCTAGTTTTCAAATCTTTGTTTTTCACAAAAATCACAGAATATCAGAGCTGATAAAACCCGCATTTGAAAAAGAAAAACTGTCCGGCCTGATCAAAACAGCATCAGCAATCAAACTAACAAAAAATCTTTGGAATAAGTGCGAGAACATGTTTCCCTGGTTGTTTAGTCAAGTGGAGGAGACAGCCAGGAGGGGTCACGAGGAGAGAACGGCACAAATTATCTATCTGGAATTGGGAATTTCACACCTCCGCAGGCCTGGATTTCATCTGTGAGCTACTGTGATCGAGCTCGCTCTGCTACTGCAGAAGTAGGACACAAAGTCTGGCAGGCGAGTTGGAGTAGGGGGGGGGGGGGGGGGGGTGCGATAGAGATGGAGACGAGCTCAAGGGGGAGTGGGAGCGAGGAGAAAAAAGAGAGATAGAAACGGGATAGGAGAGATGTGAGAGGGATTTGTCAGTTATTTCTGGGGGAAGAATACATGAAAGATGGAGGGGAATACTAAGAGAATGGGAGAGGAAGGGGATGAGACACCCAAAAGGTTTTATATGCTGTATTGTCAGGACAAGCTTTATTAGTCATCAAGAGATCTATTTTAGACTGCTGCACCAAAACATTTAAGAAAAACTCAACACTACTATACGACTGAATGTTCTGAGATAAGTCTCTTAACAAAGCTGCAATGTAATAGAACGACTGAAAAGTGTTTTGTAGAAGAACACTCGCTTTTCTTCAGAGCATATCCGCCTGACTAGCTCACTTTATGTATGATAAATGACCACTATAAGCTCCACATTCGCTCCAACATATACAGATAGAAGCATCATTGCATGCTGAGACCATCCAGCTCTATTCCCTTGACCTTTAATACAGCTGGCCTGTCCCAGTGTGTGTAGAGTGTGTGTGTGTGTGTGTGTGTGTGTGTGTGTGTGTGTGTGTGTATCTGTGTGCATGTGAGCTGCAGTTCCACCCCCATGTGGCCACAGACAGGAGTTATGGGGCTCATAAAGTCTCCTTTATGATAAATGGAAGGAACAAATCTCTGCAGTTTGTGCACACACATATACACTCATATGAAGCTGCACAGGGCGAGTTTAGGAAGTTGCACCTGCACACACAATGTATGCATATGCCAAATGTGCATTTCTTTTTGAGCATGCACATGTAGCTGTTGGATGCTACATGCTACAAGGATGCTACACACATGAACTTGGGAAATCTATGCTGTCAATATGCTGCTATGAATTTGACTCTGCATGAACGGCACTGCGGTAAAAAAGGTGAAAACTGGAAAATGTGGACCTTGGAAACTAGAGCTTAACCCCATTTGCTCGAGTGTGTGGTTAAACATGGACTAGATACAGCAGTAACAAATCTCCTAGGAAATGTTTTTCATGTCATTTTGAGTGATTTATTCATCATATGTACTTAAATTTTTGTTTTTTGTTTTGCTTTTTTAAGTAACCCTATGATGAAATGTGTGACCCTGTACAAATGCATTCAAGCCACTCTTCAAGAGTAGTGTTGCCGTTTAAAAAAAGAAGTAATTAAAGTTTCTTTGTGTGCCTTTTTAGTTTTCATCAATTGAGCTACAAGTGAAGGTTTTTCATTGCCTCTGTGTTTCCTCTTGTGGCTCTGTGTTACTTTCATGCTGCTCGGTGCTGAAAGAAACTTTCTGGATAAATAAAAGTAGATAAATGTTTGGTTTTTTTGGCTCGTTTGTGAATCTGCGAATTTAAGTCGCAGGTTGCGTTTTTTTAGCCATGCCCGAGGCTTACCTGTGGCCATCTTCCCGTCAGCTGCAGCGGGCCCATCGGGGATAACACTCTTGACCTGGAGGAACTCGTCGGGCTCGTCGCCTCCGATAATGGTGAAGCCAAACCCCATGTTGCTCTTTTGGAGTGATGTGGACAGGAAACTGCCTTTAAGCTGTGTGGGGTCCCGAGTGAACAGCGGCTTCTCTATAAAAGGAGATAAAACAACTCAAATTAAGCAAAAATCAAAGCTTATACTGCACAGGCTTTCAGCAAACATTTTAAAGGATCTTGAAGCTGGTGCAGGGGGTGATGCTCGCAGGGTGGGGGCATGGGTAAAGCTTATCCAGGAAAAGAAGTGTGTAGCCACAGGAACACTGGCAGGGTTTGATGTTAATTTGGTCAGAGGTGTGTTTGTGGTGCTCAAAGATGCAGGTGTTCAATGGTATAGCTCTCGTGCAAGGTAAAACTCCGACATCCCCCCTGCTACACTTGTATCCGCATCTCTCCTCCCATGCTGTGATCTGGTGGGCAGAACGGGTGCAGAGAGCATCAGTTGTGCAGGTCTTCAGTTCCATCCCAAGCGGTAAAAAAAATTCAGCAGACGACATGCTGTCAATCAAGGGAAAAGTCTCAAGAGAAGATGTTCAACAGGGTTAGGGAAGAACGGGGGAGATATCTGGAAGAGGGAATGCTGGGAGATGTCTGCAGGAGGGAGAGCTGCAGGAAGGGGGCTCCTTGTGCAGGGAATGAGAGGAATCGAAGCCAACAAGCTTAGTCACACTTTACAAAGTCTCCAATCTTTCCACCTAGCCGGGGAGATGAGACGTGGCTGGCGTGCTAGTTTACATTCATTGTTTGCCGTCGCTGGTCCAGACACACAGTCGGTGATTACACTCTCTGCCTGCTTATGCCAGCCAATAAGACATGTCATGGTACACGCTCGTCACATAAATCCCTCGGCTGCCTCGAGGGAGAAGCTTGCTTTGCGAGCTCGCATGCTTACAGTAAGTCAAATGAGCGCGGGGCAGCCATGAGAGCGGCAGTCGGCCTCCTTTGCGTCTCTCTTGGCCTACTTACTGACAAAGTGCCACAGGGAGACGGGGCTACAGACAGGCTGCTCTAGTACCACAGCGCAGGCGGAGGTGTGAAGTGGTTGCTGCTGCTGGTTGTGGTGTTGGTGTTGGTGGGGACACATGTTCATCCGCCGAGTCAGAACGCGCCGCAGCGGGGAGACGTTGGCGGAGCAGGATGTAGCGCAAGAGGCCGCCCTGCGACCCTGAGTGGGCGAGCGGGAGAGGTCGCCGAGGCTGTGGCAGCGCTCGGGCACCGGGCCCACCTGAACCAGGGGGGGACGGAGGGGTCGAGGGAGGGTGGAACAGGGCCTGGCATCCTCCACTGAAATCCATCAAAAGTTTGGACGGAGAAAAGGAGAGGGAGGAGGTAGAAGGGAGGAGAAGGAGGAGAGAGAGAGTCTCACTGGAGTGTACACAGAGTGTAACCACGGAGACAGGCTCCCAGCTCGTGGACTACTACGTTACTATGGCAACAAACCTCCACTTCCCCAGTCCAGACAGTTTTTTTTGTTTTTTTTCTAGTAGAGCATCCTACTGCTGCTGGAGAGGTGGCACTGGAATCAGGCAGCAACAAACCAGTCATTAAACAAAACAGTGAATCACATTTAAACCCACATCTTCACTATTTATACAACCGACACGTGTTTCTATCAGACTCTCTGCAACGCTGCTGCTCCTCCTGCTGTTTGACTGACGCTTTTATTTAGTAAACAGACAAACAGTAACCTACAGTTGCCATAGTCATTTTCAACAAGAAAAAATGCACCATCATGCCCCGCTGCAACCCCTCTATGCAAGTTCCCATAGCAACCCAAGCAACATGTGTGCATGAATTATTTTCTTCACCATGTTCATCTAAGAGTGTTTTTATGAAATCTTTGTGTGTAAAGACGATCAAAACTGTGTTCGAGCTCGCTACATGATGCTGCGTGAGACTGTTTAAACATGGACGTACTCTCAGTGACGTCACCCATTGGCTTCTGAAGCAGACTTTTGAAGCCTTTCGCTGGCGGTCGCCATATTGGAAATGCTGTCTCAAACAAACTTTTGGTCAACCCGGTAACAGGCAAAGAGGTGGAGCCTCCTAACTAACAGACGCAACGCGCCAACCAGTCAGTCGGATCAGCCACGCCCCTTATTATTAATCTCATATCCTTCATTAAATCAAAAACAGATGACTCATTCAAAAACATAAAAAATAAACTGCACAGCGTGCCGATACAGACATGAGTCTTTGCACCTAAACATGTTTATTCTGCTGTCATGATGGACATTTTTATTTGGGTGTTAACAGGACTTCCAGGTCTTTTTTTTAAAGCCAGCCCCAAGTGGACACTTTGAGGAACTGCCGTTTTTTGGGCATCCACATTGGCTTCATTTTTCAACACTATTTTTTGGTTCATCGTTTCTGATTTTATTGTTGTAATAACTGTTATGGTAATACTTTTTGAAACACCCTGTGACCTCACTCTGTGCTATACCAAATAAACTTTACTTATTTCCTACTAAGTATATGTCTTACTTTCTTTAAAAAAACTGCAATAAGAAATGTCAACATTTGAAGTTCATAAAAGACTTTCAAGAACAAAAACTGAACAGCTTAAAAACACTAAATACATTTTTTTTGACTGGTTTTCACTGTAATGATTTCATCTCTAAGGACATAAAGACAGAATGTGAACATGACGATGCACTCTTGTTGTTATAATAAAAGAGTAGGCTTAGTCCAGATGTTAGCGTGTTAGGTGTTCTTACCTCTGTAGATGGTGGGAAGGGGCAGTGAGGACAGACCCTGGTTTTGCATCTGCTGCTGCTGCTGGAGTCTCCTTTTAGCCTCGAGGACGGGGTTCTCAAACTGGGTCCTTCTGTTTATATGACTGTTATAATAATAATGAAGAAAAGAAAAAAACACACACACACAGGAAAGATTTCAGATTTCACTCTCCCCTGCTGCACTTAACTCAGCCACCCTCTCAGCAAAGATCAGATCTAAAAAAATAATAATTCTGGCACTACAGCAGCTATTGCTGTGATGATTAATTAAACGCTCGGTCCCCCAGATTACGTAACAGAGCCGCAGAATGGCTTTGCTCTGTAAAAAAAAAAGAAAAAAGAAAAAAGAAAAAAGAACAAACGCCTGATTCTGGGCTTTTCTAACAGCATTCAGCTCTTCTTCTTCTTCTTCTGCTGAGCTGAATTGTGTGAATCAGTGACGGGGAGGGAACCTACGAATGAAACACTGATTTGCCTTTAAAGTCCCACGTCGCTCTTAATTTAGTTTGCAAGTGGGGGAGATCGTCATTGGCTACAAATGCTGTAATTTTCCAGAGTGAAATAATTAGTCGTCATTAGATACTTCCCTCACTCTTTAAGGCTGCATTGTGCTCTCACATAAACACACCCTCTCCCCCCACCCGCTCTCCTTATCTTTTAATGAGCACCCAAGTATCACTGGTGCTAATTACAAAACAGCTTAACTTTATTTTACCACAGTTACATAATTTCAAGGTCTGGAAGCTTCTTTCTTTTGGGTGTAAAAGACGACAAAGCGAGACAATAACGCGTCTCGAGAGGGGAGTGCAGCCTATTAGCAGTCAAGTGTCATTTTAGAGGTTTTTCTTAAGCAAAGTCAAGCCGAATCACTCCCCGCTGTCCGTCTAAAAATAGATCCCACGCTGTCCCTACGTCCTGAGGCGCAGTGGGAAGGGACACGCAGTTCAATAGAGGGGACAGTGGAGTGCAGGAGCTGTGGGTACGGAAGATAAAGAGACACAGATCTCTGCTCGTGAGCTAATCTACAGATGTGGATGCAGCGGGAGGGTTCCAGCAAAGAAACAGGGACAAACAACAAACAAATAAACGTCTCCCCTCCCTGCAAACAAACACACACACAGACAAAAGGAGCCGCCGCGCACCTGGCTGCAGCACCAGATAAATACGATAAACAAAACACAGCAGCGCTGAGTATCAAAAGCAAGCAATTACATATTAAAGATGCACTCTGACTTACTCGACATAGTAGCTGCCGTAAATGGGGTCATCGATTTTCTCCCAGCCATAAGGAAGCTCTGCAAAAAAAAACAAAAAAAAGGAATAAAAGACTTGCAGCAAATTATAGATCTGGCATGGTAGAATAACAGCAGAGCATCATTTTTAATGCAAGTAAGGATTCTAGTTTCTCAGGTATGATAAAGTACAGCTTTTGTTGCATGAAGCAGCACTAAAAGAAAACTCATTATTTGGTGTTATTTATTGGTTACAATGCTGCTGGAATGATGCCCCATTTAGCTGCAGAGTCAGAGAGGTGAGTGACTCCATTAAAAGCTGATTAAAAGTTGTTTTTATTTGAAATGTTTTGCACTTTTTTTTTACCTTACATGCAGACATATAGAGCGTATATCAAAGGGCTTTCACACTTGCAGAAATCTATGAAAACTCCTGATATTTGCATTCCCGGGAGACTCCAGGTTGCTGTCCACATTGTATTTGTGCACAAATAAAAACAAAGTGAATACTGTATGAATTTTGCCACTTGAATCAAACAGCTTTTACTTTGGAAAAAAAAAGGAAACAGGTTGCAACTGATCTACAACAAACAACACACCTGATGCCATTTATTTACATCAGATATTTACATATGTCAACCACATCTCATTATAAAAAAATGCATCCTCCTGTTGTAGAGTGGTAGTTTTGCCAGCTGGCGGTTTGTAGCGGACGCAGTTGTGGGGTTACTTTATTGTTGGCCCACAAATTAACAGAGTTAACACGTTGTCACCTGTTGTGTAGTTATCACCTGTCGGCTCTAAGTAAAGACGCGTTTAAAACAGCTCTCTCGTTTGTTTGATGAAGTCCTGTGTGTGTGTGTGTGTGTGTGTGTGTGTGTGTGTGTGTGGCATTAAAACTCATGTTTCATGTTTGTAAATCTGCGACCAGCACAGACTCAGAAATACTCGAGAGCCCCCGGCTGAGCAGCGATCACAGCTGAACAGACGTTCTGGTCAGCAGCTGGTCAATCAGTGCACGTCTAATTTTAGACCCACAGATACCGTCGGTTGCACCACAGATCTCTCTGATATCACTGAATCATTAATTACTTTTCTGAGACAAGTTTTCCAATTCAACAGATTTGCGTATTCAAACCAAGTCTCAATTCTTTATTTATAACCCACTACGATCATGTACTGCACACATACACATATACTTACACATGAAACACAAATGAGGGGCCTATTTATTTTTCAGTGTACATGTATGTTAAACATCTTTGTGACAGGATTCGTGTACAGCATCGCTTCTGTTGGTAATTAGTAGGAAGTCGTTGGTGCAATAAAATGTGACGCAGAGGGACAGCTGATCTTTCTGTGCAGGCTCAGAAATAATCTGAAATTGTTTTTCTTCATTAAAGTTGGATGGGGACAAGGCACGAGATGAAAACACGACTGTGTGTTTTTCGCAGCAGCTTGTCACAGTGACTGATTTAAAGAGGCTACTTACTCTTTAAAGCTGCACATCAAATACAGCTCTCTTCTAAAAAAGAAGAGAAAAAAAGAAGAAAAAAGTTGCACCCAAATATTGATAGATCTCAGCGTCTGAATTTGATGGAGTGAAATATTTATGTTCGGCATCTTCTGCATGCTGTAAATGTTTGGATGGAGGAACTTTGCATAGATTTAACAGCTCCAAACCCCCCCGAGGGTGTTGGACCTTCCCGTCATCAGATGTTTCTGCTGGTGTTTAACAGTTTAGCCGCAAATGTTACAACACTGAATGCATTTACAGACAAACAGAACCAATCCAGTCAATTACTGAATGGCGTGGGAAGAGTCTGACTGACACACGGAAAGACTGAATGTCAAAGCTTAGATTGAAGATTTAGTGTTAACACTGAAAAAAATCAAATCAGCAAATGTGTTCAATGATACCAAACAAGGATTCCATTTGATTTGTTTTTCAACATATCTTGAGGTAACACAGTTGAATATAATGAATCATGACTTTAAACCACTTCATCGGCAGGATAATAAGGAAAAGGCTTTCAGTGAATTACTCTTCTCTCTTCTGCTTACTTTACTTTTGACCTTTCAAATTACCACAAAGGAAAGAGAGGAGTTTTTGAAATTCTACAAAATGTTAACAAGCACCTGGTAAAACATTTCTAATGAAGTATTAGAAAAAAAACAGAGACAAAAAGTAACAGCCTATAAAGTGCTTATTAAGCCCTTTTATGGTTATGCACTCCTGATAGTGGGCGGGGTCATCTCTCTTCCCACATCAAAGCCTCTGATAGGGCTTTCACACTCGCAGAAATCTCCTGAAAAACTCAGGAGGAGCTGAGGAGTACATGTGAACGCAAACAGCCCAATTTGTTCTTTCGGATTTCACCTGGAGTTTCTCCTGCCAGACCCCTTAATAATTCTTCTGCAGCAAGTCGGAGTGGGCTGATGTGAGAACGCTGCAGGATATTCTCCGGAGAATTCACCTAGAGCCAATAGGAGGGGGGGGGAGTGACGTTTATATCCTGTGACCGCTGTGTCTGCACGCGACCACTACGATCTCTGTGCATGTTATGGCATGTTATGGTGCGTATGCGCAAACGGCTTGAGTGACACTTAAATAAGCTGAATGCAGCTTATAGAAGTCTAACCCAAACCCTAACCTTAACCCGTGTGATCATAGAGCTGAGAACAACAAACCCAGAGGGGGTTTGACTTTGCTCTCTACTAGAAAAAGGTTATTAATATCAGCTATGTTGACGTTTTTAAATGATGCATATTATACCTAGACAGAAAAACCAACATGGAGACTTTGAAAAACTTTGACATGGCAAGTGTCCTCTAACTTTTTCAAAAACACAGTTCGAAAGCAGAGTCAGAGGTTTTTTTTATTTTTTTATCTGCCCCCCTCTGCCTCTTCCTGCATGTGGACTGTACTGCTGCCTTTGTTCCACTGATCAAAGCTGATCTTCAAACCCCTGACACTCATCAGTCATGCCGGACGGCCGTTTTAAAGTTGCCCTCTCCTCTTTTTCTTCGGCAACATCCCTCACAGAACATCTTTTCTTCATTTCTAGGAGGTGCTGCTAAGTTTGTTTTCCAGGATATGAGCAACTAGTAAAGCAAATGACCAAATGAAGAGTAGTGCTTTAGCGTTATAGCGTGATCAGTATTGGTACACAGCGTGTACCAATACTGACAGCGGGGACAGCGTGTTCAGCTCGGCTAAGAATGACGCCGGTTTTGATTAGCGACAGTGTGAAGTCAATCTGGATTAGAGCGGAGATAACAGAAGAGAAAAATGCTTCCTTATCAGAGAGAGGGAAGCGACCCCGAGGGAGCGCAAAAGAAACCTCCGGATCCCGAGGACACGGCGGCTGCACGCTTGTGAGAAACACACACAGACAGTTTCAAACCGTGACCGGGCTTTATTACACGGCTGTGCTGAGTGCTCAGCTCTGATTGGTCAATTAAAGCATTCTAATGATTGCTATTTCTTTATAATGAGATCGAAGAAAAAAAAAAAAGGTTCCTCATGGGGCAGTTCTGATCAAAGACAACAAAATTAAAGAAGGCACAAGAAGTTAACTCGAAGCAGAACACAATATGGGAATCAACTAATCAAGACCACCCTAACCGAGACCAAGACCCCCAAAACCAGAGTGCACTGAGACCAAGACATTTAGGAATAGAGACCAAGTCAAGACCAAGACATTAAGGGATCGAGACCAAGTCAACACCAAGACATTTAGGGATCGAGACCGAGTCAAGACCAAGACATTAAGGGATCGAGACCAAGTCAAGACCAAGACATTTAGGGATCGAGACCGAGTCAAGACCAAGACATTTAGGGATCGAGACCAAGTCAACACCAAGACAAGACCAAGACATTTAGGGATCGAGACCAAGTCAACACCAAGACAAGACCAAGACATTTAGGGATCGAGACCGAGTCAAGACCAAGACATTTAGGGATCGAGACCGAGTCAAGACCAAAACATTTAGGGATCGAGGCCGAGTCAAGACCAAGACATTTAGGGATCGAGACCGAGTCAACACCAAGACATTAAGGGATCGAGACCGAGTCAACACCAAGACATTTAGGGATCGAGACCAAGTCAACACCAAGACATTTAGGGATCGAGACCGAGTCAAGACCAAGACATTTAGGATCGAGACCAAGTCAACACCAAGACAAGACCAAGACATTTAGGGATCGAGACCAAGTCAACACCAAGACAAGACCAAGACATTTACGGATCGAGACCGAGTCAAGACCAAGACATTTAGGGATCGAGACCGAGTCAAGACCAAGATATTTAGGGATCGAGACTGAGTCAACACCAAGACATTAAGGGATCGAGACCGAGTCAAGACCAAGACATTTAGGGATCGAGACCAAGTCAACACCAAGACATTTAGGGATCGAGACCGAGTCAAGACCAAGACATTTAGGGATCGAGACCAAGTCAACACCAAGACAAGACCAAGACATTTAGGGATCGAGACCAAGTCAACACCAAGACAAGACCAAGACATTTAGGGATCGAGACCAAGTCAACACCAAAACAAGACCAAGACATTTAGGGATCGAGACCGAGTCAAGACCAAGACATTTAGGGATCGAGACCAAGTCAACACCAAGACATTTAGGGATCGAGACCGAGTCAAGACCAAGACATTTAGGGATCGAGACCAAGTCAACACCAAGACATTTAGGGATCGAGACCAAGTCAACACCAAGACAAGACCAAAACATTTAGGGATCGAGACCGAGTCAAGACCAAAACATTTAGGGATCGAGACCGAGTCAAGACCAAGACCATAAATATCACCGAAAAATCACCATGTAGCGTGCAGGGGGCGTGTCACTAGAGTATAGGAACCACATCAAATTCATTTTTTTTTTCAATTCTGCATTTTGGAATGATCAGAATGAATCCTTCAGAGTCTCTGGTAAGAGCTGTGTTACAAACTACGGTCTGTAACAGAGAAATATTTGACCCTCAGAATTCTGTAATTGATGAGAATGAGAACCGAGTATTCAACACAACCATGATAACAAACTATTC